AGCGAGCTGGGAGCACCGGCCAGTCCTGGCATCCAGGAGCCACCAGGTATCCAAAGGCTCCATAAAACGAGATGCTTTCCACCTCTTTAAACCCAAGATGAGCGGCATTTCGGCAGCGGAGGGGCCAAAACCCCACTCTGGCCTCGTGGCTGCCCCTGCCTCCCGCTGCCCGTAGCTCCCACTCCAAAGCCGCCGCATCCGTAGTCGATCCCGCTGCTATTTTTGATACGGGCGCCTTATTGAGATTCAAATGAATGTTTCCAATCCGTGCTCCTTTGCATAATTCTTTTTAATTAACACTTCAAAGGCTTCCACGCCGCATCCTTGCTTGTTCCCTAATGAAGTCGCACCGAAGCCCCGAGCCCCCCGAACCTCTCGGTGCTCCCGAGGGCCCACACAGGGATCGGCCCCTGCCACTTCCCCCCCAAGGGTTGGGTTCCCCCTTCTTGGGAATTGGGTCAGGCGAACAGCTGGGGCTGCAAAGGGACCAGGAGAAATCACTGCCGCTTGCTCCTGCTGCAGCAACTCCGGAAGTGGCACCAGCCAAGCACTGAAAATGCCCCTGAAATTGCAAAATTTAAAGCAAAGATGGTAAAAAACACCGCTCCCTCCTCGCCTGCGCCCCGTGCTGCAACACAGCCCCTGTCTGCACAGATCTACCAAAGTCAAGTGCAGAAATCTGAGCTCCTGGGGTGGGTTTTGGTCCTGTCATACAATCACAAAATGCCTAAGGGTGGAAGGGACCTCTCGAGATCACCTAGTCCAACCCCCCTGCACACGCAAGGTCACCTAGAGCACGTGGCGCAGGACTGCGTCCAAGCAGTCGCCAAATTCACAGCCAGCACAAGGCTGCAAAGCACCTGCCTGTTGTCCCAAACAGTGTTTTTCCAATGAAAACTTTTGCTCCCGTTACACAATGCAGAGGGGAAAGCGCTAACTGGGGTCCCTGCACCCACCCACGTCCCCGGCCATGAGGGGCAGGATCGAGCCCCTGCACAGCCCAACAAACGGGTAAAAAGCTCCAGGTTTAATTCCTGCAAGTGCAGAAATCGTTAGACACAACAAAATTGTATAATTAGGATTTAATAAGACGCCGTCCTAGACATGCAAAAGAAGTAGGTTAGACAGTGGCCTTTGTTCAGCTACAAAAGATGTTAATTTGCAAACGCTCTTAATATTCATTTTCTGTTATTTAAACTGATGTTTTGAAAGTTGCCGATAAAATGAGAGACGTGGACGGCGCCTTCGCGTTGCATCTCCAAGCCGGGGAACGTGGCTTTGATGTTCCCCTCGATAGCATCTTTCTTAGAGCCTTGACTGCATCAAATTAAATGCTGATTGCTCTGATAGCGCGACGCAGCCTCCAGCTGCACGCAGGTGACTTTTTGTTCTCGAAGGAAATGAGCTATTTTGGCGAGGAGGCTTCTTGGGAGCTTGGTCCCTGGCTGGGCTTTAAGCCGCGGGCTCAAGGTGCCTGGTTGGACCCGACTCCCTGCCCAGCCTCTCAGCACATCCCGACGTGCTCCAGGGCACTGCGTGTCCTTGCACGGGGACCACTGAGGTTCCAGCTTTAGGGCTGGGCACTGGGGAAAAAAAGCTAGAAGGTGAGGAAAGAGCAGCCCCTTTTTCCTGGGTCCTCACTGCATTTTGTCACCCTCCAGCCTCTTGCTTAGCACACAATCTGTCCTTTTGCACTTATTTCCACAGCTCAGCAAAGCAAAAGGCACAGAGAGGAGGGGGAAGAACGCTTGCCGAGTCCTTGACCTGCCCTTCCGTCCTGCTTCCTTCCATCCCTAGTCCCCTAACTAGCCCCACTTGCCTGGTTTGCTCTCCGCAGGGACCACAAGGCCTTGGTGACACTGCAGAGCCGGCCCCATTTGAGCAGACATCTGAAGCCCGCCCAAGCCCGTGGCCCTGCAGCCCTCACGTCCATGCCAGGGTGATGGGGATGTGCCCGAGCACCAGCCTGGTGCTCCCAGGAGCCTTCCTGGTGCTGGGGCTTCTCCCTGTAATTAAACACAGGAGCACGCACGTTATTTCTTTTAACTTGGTTCCTTATAGATGCTAAAGTGCCCACGGTGCCAACACTTGTCCACAGGGGACAGGGCCAGCTGGGCACTCCAGGATCCCTGCAGGATGCGGAGCCTGGATGCTCCCGCCTCAGTGCTCTGGATTCACATGATGGAGCCCAACTTCAGCCACAGATTTTATTTCGTAGTAAGGAGCTCACCACACCAGCAAGCCAGGACAGGGGCCAGGGTACAGGATTACAGAGCCGGAGGGGTTACACAGTGAGGTTCGTACAGCTTTTGTACAGAGGAGGAAACAAAATGAACCAAATAACAAAATAGACATTAGCAGTCAAACCATTTTTTTTTCTGTGTTCCTCTTTATCATACCAACAAAATCTGATAGCCAAAAAATGACTAAGCTACAAAATTGTAATACATACTGTACGGGTAAAAGGTTATCATCCATTTATACATCTAGTATCACCTTTATTCTGGTGACTTACATGAGGCCTATAGGATCTTAGTGTATTAATAATTCCCTATAAGATAGCGTTGCGCTGCTGAAGCTGCTGAACAGCCGAGCACAGGAATCTTTAAGACTTTTGCAGTGGTGTTTGCATGGTTTTAACGAAACCCTCATGCATGACGAGCGCGGTGCTGCCCTCGCTCCGGCTCCCAGGCGCTGTCGCAGGGATCCAGCCGCAGTCGCTGCTCCCCGGAGCAGCTTTGGGACCGGAGGAGCAAGACAGAAGCTTGCGAGACGGGGGAGCGAAGGCACAAACAGGATCCAGTCCTGGAGTGACGGCAGGAGATGGGTGCATCGGTGTTTAATGCCCTTGGAAACAAAAAAGCCTCCCCCAAAGAACAAAGCCAGTTAGATCAAGTATTGTGAAGTATTTTATATATATCACCGCATAGAGGCAAAAATAGCAATTAATCTTACAAATAAATAGAGGGGCAGGGGAATCTCCTGGTCCCTTTCCAGATTTCTCCCTTGTTTGGTCTCTTACAACCTAGGAAGGGCTTGGCAGCCCTGCAGAGGAGCAGCCAGAGGTAGGTGCCCTGGGAATCCTGCACTTATGGAAAACCCTGGATTTGGAGAGCAGCAGCACTGCAGGAAGCACTCAGCGTTATCCCGACTCCACTGCCGTTCAGCAAGTTGTGACACTGATTTCTGAGACCATCCAAGCCAGGGGAACATCAACCCCAGCACTGCAGCTCCCACTGCTCCAGCTGGAACAACGAGTGCTCCCTCTGGGATTTTCTTGAGTGTTTTCAGCTCCCTCCATCACTTACAGAAGTGTTTGAGCCCCCTAGTGTGATCCCTTCAATGTCCAGCACTAGCCAGCAATTGGCATCAGTCTTCCTGGTGATTTACAAGAGCCAATTAAAAACTTCCACAAGACACAAGGGGGTCTCATCAGAATTATTCCTGGCCAATTATCTTTGCTGCCTCTTTCCCCCTGCAATGAGCCAGACTTAAGCTATGCTTTTTGACCTGCTTTACTGCCCTCAGGTCACCACTATCGCTCTCTCATCATCCCTTTGAATTGATGGAGGATGAGAGAAGATCAACCCTGCAGGGCCCAATATGCCATCGTAGTCCAGAAAGATTCAGCAACATCCTTCTCATGGCAGAATTAAAGCCACATTTTAAAAGCCAAGTTTTTTCCAAGCTTGTTTCTGGCTGCCCATCAAGTAAGAGCCTGGTAACCCACTACGAAAAAAATAACAGGCTACAGAAAAAAACAAAACAAAACAAGGGGGCAAGCAGCACTGAAGCTGACCGGCTGCGATGCTCATCCACGTGCGGTCTGGCTCAGATCTCTGCCTGTCCTCTTCTAGCTGTGACTTACAATCAGACGAGCTCCTGAAGGATGGAAGGGTCTGGCACGAGGGGAGGGCTCATTAAAACACTGCTCCTGTTCTGCCCTACGGTACCCGACAGCGAGCTGGACTCTCACAGGACGCTCTCTCGTGCCTTTATGGACATATTCTCCTCTTACTCCATCCTGATGGCCTTGGATGACCACAGTGCAAATGCGGAGGGAAGAGTAAAGCCTTCAGGAAAAGGAATGAGACCAGATAAACCCCGTGCTTCCTTGGCAAGGCTGGTACCCAAGTGGCCACAGGGAAAAGCACCCGCACGCGCTGGGCGCCCGCCCGCCACGTGCTCCATGGGGCTGCCCCGCTCTGCACAGACCAGAGCCCTGCAAGGCCCCGCTCTTGGGCTCCTTCTGCTCCAAAAACTTGGCCGTGCCGGGAGATCCGCTCAGCGACCCCGCCGCAAGCAGAAAGGCTGAGGGCACCCAAGCAAGGGGCACCTGCCCCTCCGACCTCAGAGCCACCTTCCCCAAGCAGCAGTGGGCAAGATGAATGAAATAAATACGGCTTTGAAACCAGGGTAGATACCACAACATGCTATTATACACGTACTAAGTGAAGCCTCCGTGCCCTAGGACCGAGACATCTTCTACACGGGCTCGGAGGGAAACATTCCCCCACAACCACCATCCAACACAGCGCACCAGAACAGTCGCAGCCTGCGGATCAGACCCGCTCGTGTGGTTCTTTGGGACACCAGGGTGGGTTAAAAGGGAGGGACAGACCTTGTGAAAGCCCCTGGGCACCTGCTTTGGGGTCCAACGCCACAAGCAAATCCCGCTGCGGTTCCTGCGGGGTTACTAGGACTCCCTGACAATTCAGTCACCACACAAGGCAGCCGTCACCCCCACCGCGTCAGCCGCTGGGAAAAGGGCGGTTCAAGCAATACAAATTCCACAGTCCAAAAAAAAAAGAAAATACAGGTAAGAAACCAAACCCAGAGAGACCTTTCTGCTCCTCCTGGAACAATGGCTGGCTTGGAAAATTGGATTCCAGGATTGTCCTGATTATATCAGTTAGTATATTATAAATATTGTCCTGCTTCAAAGTGAAAATACTGTGTCTAGTCTTTAGGAGGTGCTAAAGCCAGATGTGGTATCATTCTTCCTGACTGCGCACAGGAGCTGATACTGGTGTGAAATGATCCTCTTCACCTCATCTCTATCAGAGCTTCTCCTGGAAGGAAAGAGACCATGTTAAGAAAAACACGGAGCACCTGATGCTCAGGAGAAAGCAGGCAAGTGGTTCTTATTTTTCTGCAGAAATGGTGAATCTGTAACCATCCATAACAATGTTCCTCTTCCATAGCGGACATGGGAGAGTGTTTTTACAAAAGGAGAAACTGAGGAATGGAGTGGGACAGCCTCAGCAGAGCCCAGACACCCCAAGTCCTGACACCCTGCTCTGCCCGGTAAAACCACACTACCCTCCTGTTCAGGCCATCCTGCCCGTGGGGAAGTGACATCTGAGGCCACAGATCCTACCCCACGCCATGAAAACAATGGGAGACTAGAACAGGGGCCCTATAAACATCATCCACAGGGGACAAATGTCATCCACATACAGGAGATAGCACAGATTTGAGTCCAAGCAGGTTCTAGATGGTGCTACAAGGGGAGAAATCACAGGGACACTGATCCAGGACACCTCAGTGAGGTACCTGCTGCATCTCAGTGTACATCTTGCTAGTATCTTCCTGATGGCTCTGAGGGGGTTTAAGGGTAAGGAGGGGCTGTGATGGTTGGTGGCAGCTCCTACAGCAGCTAGGATCTGTCCCACATCCCTGCCAGCAGCACTGGCTCTGGGAAGCTCTTCTCCCACACTGGGGAACAAGTGCTGTGCACAGAGGCTCTTGTCTTGCTGTGGGAACGATAGGGTCGAGCCTTGCTGGCCAAGTGGCCTCCATGCAGGGCCTGCCCCCAGCACAGCAGGGAAGAAGCCACATGTGGCAGCCCCGACTTTAAATAATCCTTTGCTCATAACTTACCTCTTGCTTGTGGGATTTATCCTGCTGGTGAATCCCATTAGCAGACCCAGAATTTCCAACAGTCTGCAAGAAAGAACAGACAATACTTACCTTAGGTATAGTCCAACGTTGGCCTGCAAGCATTGAGACCTGGCAAGGCTTCTGTCCCCTCCTGCTGCAGCCCATCACTCCATGCTAAGGAATGCAAAATCCCACACCACTTTCTGCAGAAAGTTTCATAACCTCTTCATCCTGGCCCAATTCCCACGTGGGCAATTGTATCCTTCCCAGTTATAAGATATCCTCTGGATATCCTTATGGACACAGACTTGCTCTTCACTTCTCATTCTTGAAGTCTAATAAACAAGTGAGCAGCCAAGGGCAGAGTTAACTGCAAAACCTGGGACAAGGAACACCAACAGCAAATGCCATCCCTCATTTCCCATCTCTGGGGACAAGCGTGGCAGGCAGCATAAGCCGTTCTTCTATCTTTAGAAAATGTAAGAACTTTAAACATTTATAATGTTTCTTTTGGCATGGGTAACATGGAGTCCTTCAGCTTCAAAATGACAGCATAACCACAGTGACTTTTAAGTGGCACAAAGAAGGAAAGAAAGTCACAGCCAGAAGTGACAGCCTGCCAGGTTCAGCTGTCCCCTGCACTGCTGGTGACATAGGGACAGGGGAGACAAGGCTGCAAGGCTTCAGCCCCATTATTTGGGGAGTTCCAGGTATCCATGAAAATGAACAATCAGCTCTGCAGAACAGGGATGCCAAGGCCCAAACTGAGCTCTCCTTGGAGAGCCTGAACTGTTTGCCAAGCGTTTGCCAAGGCGGCTGAAAGGATGGCAAGGAAACCACCACGGTGGTAGCCGAGGCCCAGGGTGCTGCGAGCTGTAGGTGACCCTGCCCTGCACAAGGCCTGTGCACACACCCAGCCACCACCAGGTGAGGGGAATTAGGCTTGAAATTTGGTTTTGGCACACAGTCACAAGAAAGAGCACCAAGTGGCATGATTTGCTGGAAATGAAATACAATCTCAGGGTAGTTGCTGCAGATCCTCCAAGAAGGGTCTCGAGTATCATTCCCTGTGAGCCTGCAGACCTGGCTCTCCCAGGGCATGGGGAACACAGATCCTCTGCTGCCTTTATTACGGGATGAAGACCTTGCGGCTGCAGACATGAAACAGCAAAGCAGCAACGATGTGACGAGACAGACACCACAGGGCCAGCACAGCCCCAAGTCCTCCTCATGGCAGGGTGAGGCCGGGCACGTGCACGAAGGGCTCCAGAGCTGGGGACCCCAGGAGCCTTCCTGGCTGCAGGAGCAGCTCGTGGGAATTTCACTTCCTTCTGGAGAGCGCTGCAGAGCAAAGTCTTCACAGGCAAAGGGAGACTGATGCCAAGCCCAGCCCTGGGCAAGACAGGCAATGAAGGGCAGGGAAAGGTGGGTTAGTGCTGGAGTGTGTCTCCTGGAGAAGAGCAGGAGCTCCCAAACTATCACATCAGGATCCCTTTTGGCCAGCAGCATCCTCAGGCTTGGCCTGAAAGCCCCTGGTGAACAATTCTCCTTTCTAGAGGAAAGGATGAACCGCACTGGAACTGGGGAGTTTTGATCCAGGCTTCCCCGTAGCTCAGGAGCTTCAAGTTCAACATCCACTGAAGGTAGTAGCCTGACTCCCCTGGCAAACTTCTATCCCTTTGCACCCCTGACCTTGTTGCATCTCTAGGATTTCTTAGGCATGAAAGTGTCCAAGAAATATCCAGGACAGATTAGTTGAACTCCGAAGGTCCCTTGAACTTTTTTTCTTCTCTTTAAAAGATTAGTTGTTATCTACAGTAAGGGAAGAAAAAATTGCCCATGTCACCACAAGAGGGATTGTGAAAGAAAAGACTTCTGAGCTCTCAAGTGACTTAGCATTAAAGCAAATGTAAAAACTGTCCCCATCTCTCCTACAGGTTACAATGGATCAGAAGATGGCAGGACCATGAGGCCCATCTGCAGATGGCTGCAATTTTTCCCTTGCACTCCCTTCCAAGCCCACATCAAAAACTCCTGCAATAGAGACTGCATTTTGGAGCCCCTGCTCGCTCTGCAGAAGACAGTGTCATGGGAGGAAGAGACATAAGCCATACTACATACCACAACATATATACCCCTACATCAAGGTGAACAAATCCTCCACTCAGCTGCTTCTAGTGTTTTTTTTTTTCCTCTCTGCACAATCCTACAGCACCTGCCTCATTGTGAATCGTAAGAGAAAGACATTTTTCAGCTTTGAAGCCACAACATATCTACCCCTACATTGGGGTGAACAAATCCTGCACTCAGCTGCTTCTAGTGTTTTCTTTTCCTCTCTGCACCATCCTACAGCATCTACCTCATTGTGAATTTTAAGAGAAAGACATTTTTCAGCTTTGAATGTAAATAAGTATCAGATAAGCACATTATCTGGCCTCTGAAAGCCATGACCTGATTGCAGACGCAAGAGAAAACACAGAGAAAAATATACAGAGAAAAGAAGAAAAAGCTTGGCATAAGAGGCAGGTCACACCACAGGTATGAGGCAGAGAAGGCCAAACGTGCCAAGAGACATCAAGATTATTGACATCAAGGTTCCGTTTTTACAGGGAAAGACATAACTGTCCTTGTATAGCAAAATACTAGGGGTTGTTTGGCTTTTCTCAGAAGAAAGAATGGGAAACTGGAAGAAGCTGGGAAGGGAAGACAGCGCCTGGAATGGAAGCACTTGGAGCCCAGCAGCAAACCTAAATCAGAAAGACACAGACCTCCAGAAGCTACAGAAAAACCTTTTCCCACAACCACCTCCAAAGTTTGTGCTTTAGGACTACGAGGAAATAATTCTCTCAGCAGAGAATAGAAATGAAAAATTTTTCTTACATTAAAGAGACTTTAAAGGACATTATCAACTAGTTAAAGAATGTCACTGCTTGCAATTTGTTTTGTTTTGAAAGCCAATCAGAAAGTCTTACTGGTCTCTTCAGAAGTCTGAAACAGTTACAGCCCTTCCCGAAGGAGGCATCAGGCCATTATTTTTCTCTTTAAAATGACAAATAAGGGTCTGTATGTACATGCTTACATTCCCTCCTGGGCCAAGGAAATGTAGCCCTTTGTGTGTGAACTTTAATTCTCCCCAAAGAGCATCTGACACATACCACATCATATGCCTAAAGAGAACCTGCATTTGCAGCTTCTCCAAAACATCACATTTAATAACTGTTCTTGCAGAGCGCAAACAATCTCTAATGACCAGGGTGCAGGTCTTGTTAGTGCTAAGCTACACCCAGGAAAGCAAAGGCCTGGAAGGCTGTTTCTGGAGCAGCAGATGCTCTACCTGTGTTTTCTCCGAGGAAAGCCGCATTGCTTCCATGAGCTTCTCCATCTGGTGGCCCTGCTCCAGCGCGTTGCGCAGGACATCCTCCGTGCTGACGAGCCGGTGCTGCAGCCGGATCACCTCCGACTCCGACGACGGGTCGATCAGGGAGTATCGCCTCTGATCCGTTACTGATTTTTCCTTGTCCTTCACGCAGCAAGGTGAGAATAGGTGCATGTTACATATAAAAATGACTAAGGGAGTTACAAATGCTCAGTAACCAACACAACTGTATTTCAATTTCAACAGCAGATGGGGTCCAAGCACAACTCTGAGAGCAAAGGCAGCTAACAGCAGCTCCAGCTTGTTCCAGGCTGAGCTCAAACAAACTATTCACATCTCAGCCACTGGAGGACACTGCAGTACACAGGAATTAGAGGACACTTCTTATCCCTTCTCTGACCTAGGAATAAGCTGTGTGGGGTAACAGCGACCTCCAGTTTCTTCCAACAGTTTTTTCTCTATTTAGCTAAGGGTCCAAGTGCCCTGGGAACAGTCCCTGAAGGCCCTTTTATCCCATGCCACCTGCCCCCAGAGCAGCATGAAGCCCTCCCTAGCCCAAGGTCACCGCAGATTTCTCACCAGCACCACCAGCTTCTCCCGCAGCCCTTTGATGTCATCTTTGAGCTTCTGCTCCTTGAGGCGCCACTCGGCCTTGTGCACCTCCCGGCTCAGGTCGCGCTCCGGCCCCGGCGAGTGCCGGTTGGCCTCCAGCAGCAGCGCCCGCAGCTCGTTCAGGCTCCTGCAGCAAGCAGCACCCTGGGTTTGCAGGGCTTGGGCAACACCCCACCACGCTCCCATCCACCCTAACCCACGAAAAGACCCATCTGCAAATCTGTCCCAATTCCCACCACCCCGGGGGCTGCCGATTTAGGGAGCCCGGGGCCAGCAGTCTGACCTCTCCTTCTTGAGCAGCTCCTGGCTGATGAGCACCAGCTGCCCCGAAGCGTCATGCGTTTTCTTGGACAAGGCTTCCAGGTCGTTCTCCAACCTCTTCTTTTCCTTCAATGCCGAATCCGCCTTCTTCTCCGCACTTTTGCATTTGTTTTCCAAAGCTGAGAGAAGCAATGGACACAGGGAAGAAAGGTCTCTGAGTCCTTGACTTGCCTTCCCGTCCCGCTTCCTTCCTTCCCTGGCTGCTGGCCTAGCCCCAGCTGTGCATAGTGGCCACAGAGGCTTAGCAACACTCTGCATCTGGCCATATCTAAGGGACATCTCAGAATCCTCAGACCCAGCATTTATTTATTTCTCTATTTCTTTTGGTCTCATGCAGCAGGGAGGTACAAGGGACACACATGGAGATACTGAGTTTCCACCAGTGTTGGATTAGGAGAACTTACCACTTACTTGGGCCCTTAGAGTTTCGGTCTGGGAGACCAGTGATGACACCTCCTTGTCTCTCTTGCTCAGCTTGTCTTGGAGATCTTTAGGAGAATGAAAAAAGGCAAGAGACCAGCATGAGAAGCTTGGAAAAATGCCTCCTGCAAGTCAGGAGGAAAGGTATATAACTATATCAAACACGTATAAGATAGTACTGCAAGGTGAAAAGAAAACCCTTCAAGAATGAAGAATAAAAAAAATCACAGAAAGGAGCTTTAGCACATTTCCTTGTGTTACCCAGCACGCTGAAAGGAATTTTAAAAGACATTTTCATGTTCAAACAGAACCCTAGACTTGGAGCATGAGGTTTTTATGCCCAGATCTGAGCTGGTCATCTTGAGTATGTCCTGTCCGTGTTTTATTCGCAGTGGAAACTTATGTGCACATGGACTGAGAGGCCACTTCAAGAGCAGCGACTGTGGGCAGGTAAAGAGGGAACAAGACCCCGTTCTTGCATTACTCTCAAATCACTGTCAATCAACATACAGTTTGCTGTAACGTGTGTCACCCTGTACCGGCAAAGACAACCGTGAGACAGACTGAAGTAGGACAAGACACCTCTGCCTGAAACCATAAGCAGCTGGGGTGACACTCAACTAACCGGAGTCTCTATTAAGTGAAATTTAAGCCCTAGAAACCTCCATTTAAATGGCTTCATCCTTGGCAGGAATTAAAAGGAGCTTTGCAGGGAACAGGCTCCTCAGAGGTGAATAACTGACAAAAAAAAAAAGCTATGTCATTGCAAGCCACATGCTATCCAAAAATAGAAGTGACAAGCTTAGTGCTTTAAAGATCACCTTTGTGATCTACACAGGAAAGGCTTTTTTTCTTGCTAAAAAAACACAAACCTAAGGAAGGTTTGTTTGTACAAATAAGGAAGAATAAGGAAATACAATACAGCCTCACAGAAATGAGCACAGGGAATATCTGATCTGGAAGCACCTTACAAGTCTTGGAATAGCCCTCAACCCTTCAGGGACAACCAAAAAAATCATGCTCTACCCTCACCAATTCTGCTGCTGCTAAGATTAGGGACTACAGCTTTCTCTCTTTAGGAAAGCCTCAAAGTCCCTTTGCACAAATTTTCCAAAGTGTACAAACTCAGGACTTCATTGCAAAGACAGATTTGATCTACAACAAGTTCAGTAAGAAAGTAACCCCCATTATTTTAGCCAATCACGTTGATATCTGCCATTAGCAGCCTTCTCCCAAAGGAAATGACACTCAGCAGACCAGATTTTATCCGGTGAGGGACAGAAGTGCCCATTCCTTCAGATCTGCCTCCACCCCATGCCATTAACATGGTGAGAATGCAACAGCAAAACAAAAACATCCTGTCCTGCATTTGCTCATCCTGGAGGGGAGAAAAACCCAGACTACAAATGCCACCTAGCCAACTAAAGCCCTGAAATGATTTCCTAATCCCCTTTGCCCAGAGCTGTCCCTGTGAGGGCAGGGAGGAGGAGGAAGACAAGCGCATGTGTCAGTAGAACAGGCTGTTCTGCAAGACAAAGACAATAAAGTTTCCTACCTTCCATAGTCTGCTTCATCTTTATCTTTTCTTCTGAAATATCATTAGTGTCAATCATCTGAAATAAATTAAGATATCAGACATGTATCAGTCCTTTACCCAGAGCTGCAAAGAAAAGTCACCAACCGTGGACTGGAGTCCTGTCCAAAGTGGTAGGTGTGGAACCAGCAGCCAAGTTATGATGCTTTTGCATTTTGAGAATTAAAGGAACATCCATCCTGGAGGGAAACAAAGGCTTTTGAGGGATCACTTCTCCAGTTAAGCATTGCTGAAGGTAAACAGGTATCATCCAAACACCCCAACAAAACAGCCTGTGCAGCCCAACAGTGAGACTCCCTCCGGAGGGGGAAGAGGCCAGACTTCCCACAAGCTCTGGGTCCAGCTTTGGAGCATCCCGAGCTGGCAGACAGCAATGGAAGAGCTGCTCTGGTTGCACCAGTCTCCTGCAGCCAGTCAGGACACATCTTCAGCAGAGACAAGAGGAGCAAACAGCTCTTCAGCATCTGACTTGAGACCTACCAGCAGCCGGGTCTTCAGCTTCCCAAATATCTAACTGTGCCCAAAGTTATGAAACTGGTCCAGAGCGAGGATTCTGCCTTCTCCCCACCCTCTCTGTCCAGGCTGCAGTGCTAGAAGCCTCAGAAAGGGCATGAAGACCACCTGCCTGCTTTAAAGTTACATCCCCAGCCAAAGCAAGCTCAGCCTCCATGGGGCAGGAGAGCCCCAAGAGCAGTGTGACAACATGTGGGTACTCTGGGGCAGCCCATGCTCCCAGTGGCACCAGCATCAGTCCCGTATTCATACCGACTGCTTGGACACCCACCAGAAGAACCAGTCATCATCCAGTTGGGATTCCTGCTATCTGCATCCCTTCCTGCTCCCCTCCCTCCCACCTGGAAAGCCCACATTGCACCTTTCTAAAGCCAGTGCAAGTGCCATTCCAGGGGAATCCCAAGCAGGCTAGAAACTTGTGACCACATTGCACAAGGGAGGTCTGCTCCATCCCAGGAAATGCTCCACCTCTGCTCCAAATTTCTCCCTGGACAAGGAAGCTTCTTCTCTTAGCAAACATTCAGGCATATGTGATTGCCTAAAAGCCCATTCCCTCGTTTCCAGAATGAATCTCAAGACAGGTCCAGAGCAGCAATGGTCAAGAAGTTTTGGTACATGATCAGTTCTGGTCCCACGCAACTGCTAACCCTGGACTCCTAACAGAGGACAGCAGGGATCAGGAATGAAGCTTCCCAGAGCAGAAGCTCCAGTTCAGCACGTGGAGCATCTCCATCCAGGTGCCTTCAGTGGGACCTCAGCATAGACCTGACACTAGTGAAAACATGAGGTCAGTCCCCAGGATTCAGATGGGCTCCAAGATATGTAAATATTTGCTAACTTGAACACAAGCAGGAGCACACACAAAGGGAATTTGCTGCCTGATGCACTTTTGGCAGGGAAAGCTAATTGCTATTTGGATACAGACTTACTGTTCTCATTTGAAGACCTAGGAAAGAAAGAATATTGTTCACAAGACATTTGTTTAAAAACATGTAGATAGTTAATACTGCAGGTGCATTAAATTACCTAAGACATTTAAATAGAGTTTATGAAACTCAATGGTTTTCACCCATATATTCTGGTGTTTTCTTGATTTGAATCTACATATAGTTAAATTATTTCAAGATTTACTAGTTCTAGTTGATTACCGAGGAAATTTAAGAGCCTTCGCACTTAAAGGGTCCTGAAATAGGCCTCCACTTTATTCCTTTGCATTCACCCTTCTTTGAATCTCAGCCATATTATGCTGACGTGATCCACCTTTCCCAGGACCCTTTCCCCACCTCTCAGAACCACTGCTCACCTCCTACCTGTGCATCCATGCACTTACTGTTCACCACTGTCTTGACTAGCTGAAGCATGCTGAGAAATCCTTGAAATACCATTAATGTAGCTGCTTCCTCCTTAAGCTTTTGTCTCTCCTGTCCTTTTTGCAGTGTGAAGCCCTGACTTGGCCAACAGTAATTCAGTCTTGACTTGGTTGCCTGGTGGCTCAACAGACTCCAAAGGGGCGGCTCATGGTGGCAGATCAAACATGCACCTCGTGTTCACTCAACTGGTACCTCACAGGCTAGAGCAGGGAAGACATCCCTGGGGACAGATTTCAAACAAATATTCTCAAGACATGCACATCTCAGGACTTACTTTCATTCTCTATATCCCCATGGGGACAAGGGGAGCCTCAAGCTCTAAGTTGACTTTTAGCTCATTTCTTACGCAAAAGTCAAGTCACAAATAGCCATTCTAGAGCCATGAATTGGCAACCTCCTCCCCTCCACTCTCTAAAGCACAGGAAGGGAGCCTGTCATGAACAAATGTGGCCCTGTGCCATCCCATGGAGGCAGTCCCGTGACAAAAAATCCAAGAGAAGTCAAAAAAAAAGTAACGAGATACAGAGGCCACAGAAAACTGACCTTCATGATACTAGTGCTCTACTGTAGTCTTCCCCAGCAAGTTCAGGACCTGCCTTCAAACATTTTATTCCTCAGGCCTGGTACCATCCTGCCCCTTGCAGGCAGCTTTTCCCCTAAATGAGCACAGGGCCCCTGCACTGTCTCTGCTGTGTTGCTGGCACCCACGTTCACACCCAACTCATCAGCTCAGCCCCGAGTGACATCCTTCAACCACGCTCCATGTGCCAAGCAAGCCACATGCTGCCTCTCAGCACAGGCAACGCATCTATCCCTCACCCACCCCAAAGGCTTGGCAACACGCTAGGGCTGCTGTGCCTCTTTGGAGGACAACAGTTGTATTGTCAAAATGATGCTTTTTTAACTAAGAATGCTGCTTGCTCAGTGTGAAAGGCCATCCCTGCCAAACCACTTCAACAGCCCCATTCTGCTGCCACAGGTTTGGCTTCAAATCCAAATGTGCCTCTCATTTCTTCCAACTGTGCCACTGCATTGGCTTACAAGCCCAGGAACACACCCTCAGCATGGAGATGCAGTGCAGGAAAAACCAGCACTGTAAATGGAAGGTAAAAAGCAGACAGATACTTCAAGGCACAGAAACCTCAGTAAATCGCACAAAAGAGCAGCTCCTCCTGGAAAAGGTAGTAACAGTGACAAGATAAATAAGCAAAATGACCCAAAAGTCATACATTTGCATGCTGAGAAGGATGCAGGGACTCCATGGACTGTAGTTTGTTCTCTAACACAAGCACTTTTTCCTGCAGTCTGTGGATCTCCTGTTTGCTCTGCGCTTCTGTTTTCTGTAGCGTTTCATAGTCCAACATCTTCTTCTCAGCCAAAGAAATCTGATCTTTCAAGAAAGCTATTGCTTGTGTTTGATCTTTATATTCACCATGAAGTTTCTCCAGTTCATGCACCCTCAGCTCAGCATCTCGACACTTGTCCTTCATATCCTGGAGTTCCAGATGGTGCTGATTGCTTTTGGTTTCCAGTTGCATTTTCCAGTCGCTGTTGCTTTTCTCCACTTCATCCACAGCCTCCTGCAGCTTCAGTTTCAGGCTCTCTTTCTCCTTTATGTGAACAGCCATCTCAATGTCATGCTTTGCTTTCAGGTTCTCCATCTCAAGCTGGTGCTCCATCTTTATACTCTCCACCACCGCTTTCAGTTCCACAATCTCCTTATGTTGGGTGTCAGGCCCTGTGTTCAGAGTGGCCTTGAGGTCCTCCAGAGACTTCTGGTGATCAGACGCAAGCGTGTCCAGCTTGGACTTCCAGTTGTCCATGAGCCCCATATTCTCATTAGTGGCTTGCTGGACCTTATGCTTGAGGTCAACTATTTCCTGCGAGTACTTCTCATTGGTGGCCTTCAGCTTCTCCATCTCCTGCTGGTATTTCTTCAATGTCTTTTCATACTTCTCCTTCAGCTGGCTGCTCTCCTTCTGGTGCTCCTTGTTGGCAGAGAGCAGCTGATCCCGCAGACGAAGAGCCTCAGACTGCAGGCCAAGGTTCTGCTCGGGGCTCTCTGCTTGGTGAGAGCTCCTCAGGCACTGCCGGAGCTCGTCCACCTCGCTGCGCCTGAGGCTCAGCTCCTCCTCCAGCTGCAGGATCCTGGACTGCTCTGCGACCGTGGTTAACTGCAACAGGACAGAGAAGACAAAAATCAGCCCCTGCCCCTCACCGCCGCGTCCCTTCCTATAGCAAACATGCCTCAGTGGATATATGACCACAGTACATTAGTCAAAGTTTAAATAAAAAGGGAAAGGAAACTCAAGACCCTCTAGTCTGAGTACACTTTTGCACCAGGGTAACAATCACTGATTAACTCTAGCAGTTACAGTTCTGTGCCAATTGCAATTTATTTTGCTAACACAAACCCCTTATTGTCAGCATAGGAAACATCCATCTTTGAAACAGCCTCTGAAATTTTACCTAGAGTGGAATAGCAGCAGCTTATTAGAAATAACATCCTGACAGACCTCTATATTTCCAGACTAGGCATCTGGCCAGATGATGCACAGAGGAAATGTGACTGCACATGCAGGAGCATCACAAGCATTGAGATCAGCACCAAGCAAATCATGTTTCCTTTATTGCTCAGCAATCCTCAGCCTACAGACACCTTTTCTGCATTCTGGCCTGTTTACCCTGGTGTAAAAAGGAAAAGGGATTTTACATGGGTGCTTGTTAGAGTTTATTAGCAAAGTAAAAATAATGCAGTAGGCTAGAAGATGCACAACAATAAATTGGGCCATGGTTAACATGGAGCATCAGGCTATGGATTGTTTTCTTGCAATCTGGATGTAACCTTGCAGGGCTGAACTTCCTGCAAGCCTTGGCGAGTCCGGGGTGGCTGAGGCTACGGATTTAGAATAAGAGATTGGACTGGATGAAGTGCTAGGGAAAAAAAAATAAAAAAAAAGGAAAAGAAAGCAGAAGAAGCAAAGAAACCAAGCAGATCTTCCAGTGTAAGGACCACAAATAATCAATTCCATTTTGTTTCAATTGACATTTCTCCCAATGGTCATCAGCTCAGAAGGTCGAGTTTTGATTTTAGATTAGGGTGGGAGCAGGGGGTTATAATATTTAGCCCTTTTGGAAAACTGGCAATTGCAATATTATCTCCTGTTGCAGCCTGGGGGCCCGCTGGGCTGGCTGCCCTGGAAGGGTGCAGGTATTGCTCAGGCACGTCAGCTGAAGGATGAACCGTGAACGCTCACGTGTCGGATGGAAGCAAACCCAGCCTGAGAAACAAGTCCCCACGCAAGAAGCAAAGGCAGAAGTTATGCAGCACTGCTGCTTCCAGGAGGGACAGCAAATAAAAACCAAACCAAAAATCAGGGAAGCCTAAATTCAAGCCAAAACCAAATCAACCACACAAACCAAAATAAAAAGAAACCCAAAGCAAGGTGTCATGAGCATCAACGCGGGGAGCAAGCAGGCTGCTCTGCAGGCAGGTGAGTGGGGTTTGGATTACCCTGGTGTCCTCTAATTCTTTGAGGAGCTTCTCAGCCTGTGCCTTCTCGAACAGCAGGCTCTGCTCGAGCTCCCGTATTCGGGCATGCTCCAGCTGCGTCTGAGTCTGCTCACACATGGGGAGAAAAGAACAACAGAGGGATGGAGGGAGCAGGGAGGAGAGAAAGAAGGAGAGAGAGGGCAAGAGAGAAGGCTGCAACATCATCTTCAGTGTACAAGACAAGGAAAGGCAGTTCACAACAGGAGGAGACTAAAAGATCCAAACAAACAGGAAAAATACATCTAAACAAAAAGTTACAGGATTTTCCTCGGAACTCAGAGTGGCTACTCACAAGACAGCGGCATCTGTGAGCTGGGAATGAGCATCTGTGAGCTGGGAATGCAGCCCACAGTTGCTTCAGTGTCCTCTTGCATGAAGCCTAAAGTGAAGATACTCCCTAGAAGCAGACTTGCCCCTACCCAAGCTGCAGACCAGCAATACAAGGTGCTTGCACCAGGGAAGAGACTGCAAAGACCTTGCAGTGGTTCTTCACTTCCCTCCTCTGGGAGGACCACAGGGTGGACTGGAAAGAGCTGGAAATTCCCATTCCCTTTTTGCTCTGGGAACAGCGTGAGCCCTGTCCTTGGTGAAGAAAAGCATGTTCTACTGCACCCAGGATGTTGCTAAAACCAAAAAAATGCACCACCCTGAAAGCAAATGAAAGGAATTGAGATACCAAACTGCTGCATAAATCAAGGCTTTAGGTCTGAATAGGATAGCCATGAAATTCAAAGCAATTTTCAAACAGAATTACTCCTATTTTTTTTGAACAGGTGAATAAACTAAGTACAAGCCTGCTCCAATGCAAAGCCTGATTCCACAGCATTGCTTCGTGGTCCTTTCCCTCTTTGAGCAGAAATACCATCTAGTTGTACCTAGGGCTCTGCAACAACTACTGTAATACCCCGGAACCACAGAACAGTTGAGGTTGGCAGGGACCTTGGAGACCATCTAGCCCAGTCACCTTCTCAAGCTGGGTCACCTAGAGTACACTGCACAGGATTGCATCCAGGCAGGCTCTGAATATCCCTGGAAAAGCAGACTCCATGTGTCTAGGTAAGTTGGTCCAGTGTTATGCACCTTTCCTGTCAAGCGGTTTTTCCTCATTTTCAGGCAGAACTTCCTGTATTTCAGTGTGTGGCCGTTGCCTCTTCTTTTGTTGGTGGCCACCACTGAAGAAAGTCTGTCCCCATCTTCCTGTCAGCTTCTCCCTGCTTGTGAACGGGAAAGCTAACCTGCAGCTTCCCCAGAAGTAAAATTGCTGGCTCAAAACAGGTCTTAAAAACCCATTTAACCTGCTTGAAACCACACCTGGCCAGACCAGCTGCCTGCTAGATTCAGCTCTTCTTATCCAGCCCTCCCAAACACAGCCCTGGCCTTGCTCACAGCCTCAAACTAAAGCCGCAGCATGCACTTGCTTGGTACAAATTACACAACGTGGCGACCCTAACACAAACAGATATCCCAAAAGGGTGTGCAGAAGCAGCATCTCTGTGCTAGGAGATGGCAGCTCTCGGATGCGCTGGTTTGTTCAGCTGAACAGCTTTGAGGGACGCTGCCTGCCATGCGGAATACCCAAGAGTCCAGGCTTTATCCAAAAACTACATGTGACTGTCAGAAACACCCTATGGGACTTAGCCTAGCCTTCAGCAGAAGGCCTTGATCCAGGAGTCATGGAGAAGATGCTTTTCCAGGCGTCATGGCCAGGAACATCCATTTCCCAGGAACACACTCTGCAGCATGAAAGAGCACTTACCCCCCTGATTTCCAATGTGAGATTTCTCTGCAAGGGAATTACTTGCTTCTGGAAATCCTAACTGTCTCCACAACAAGCCAGTAAGATGTGAATTAACTCCATTGAGTCAATCATTCAGTCTGAGCAACACAACTTCCAGTTTGCACAAAAAAAATGTTCACTGCAACAACACTGCATGAAGTGACAGCACTTCCAAAAATGAGAGCCTTTAACAACAAGACACTGCAGGGGCAGCGACTGAGCAATCGGATCATTTCTATGGTGGAAAAACATTTCAAAATGCATTCACCTCCAGTCAGATTTTAACATGGGTTGGCAACTCACAGTAATATTTAAAGCCAGGCTGGCTGGCTAGGATTATTTCTGGACAGCTCCTAGAATCATTAACAGTGGCTGGGTAACTCAGCAAGGAACAACTTCCAGTTAACCTCATTGCATTCATGAGCAGGCCCGTGGCCACCAATAAACTGTGATGTACAGAATTAAGCATAAGAAATTGCTGAAGTGAGACCACATATGCAATTTTGAGTTTAGACCCCCCATTTTGGTGAGAGTGCTAGGAATTACCTCCAGATCCCCCTTCGTAATGGATTCCTCCTCGACACGGAACTGCAAGTCCTCCACTTTCCTGGAGAAGGGAAGGGGAGAGACACATAAAGCACAGTCAGTAACACCCAGATCAGCAACCATCTCCAAGTGGCCAATCGCATACGAACCTGCTCTGCGCAACAACAGGCCGAGAGGAGAAAGACACAGGCAATTTTACATGGAAGCAGCTCCACGGAGGGGAAACATCCCAACACATGAAGCAAGACAGTTCAGACAGGCTTGTGCATAGTGAACATTTGCCTTCGTGCCAGGTATTTGCTCCCAGACGCGCTGTTCCTACTGCACCACTTCTCGGGGAGCACAACTGTGTTCACCACCTCTCAGGTCCCAACCACCCGGTTCCACCACGTTACTTAGTCCCTGTTATTCTACAGCTGAGTGCTGGGCAAGTCCTGTGCCATATGCACGAGGCCCATACAAAAGATGCCAAAGGAATGAGACCCTCTGCCATCCTGGCAGGCAGTGGGCAACGCTTTATATTTCTGGAGTGGAAATCGTGAGCTATCCTGGCAGAAAAGCCTTCAGCAGGTATTGCACACATGCATAAACATATGCCAAAATACATGCACAAACCCAAGAGCACCCAGAACCCTTTTGCAAATTCTAAACAGATAACCAGTAGTAACACCAGAAATTCAATCTTCTGCTAAACTCATTCCTCTTTGTTCTCTTTACTGATAAAGTAAAACAAAATAAGAAAGAAGAGCCGACATTAATGCTGCTGCTGCACTGGCAGCCAGCTGCAAGGACTCTGATCTTGTGTCATGGACAAAAATAGCTGCAAGTGTGTATATGTAACTTCATAAACAAGCCTCCTTGTCTAAACCTCTGCTAATTAGAGGAGGCCTCTGTTGATATTTAGGAAAGAACTCAGCTGCCTGGGGTTAAAGGGCCTCCTGGAGCTGGGAAAGTGAGCTGCCTGCAAGAGGAACCAGGGGACTTGGGCCTGAAAGAACAACTTGTCTTTGGGAGGGGCATGGGTCAATTGAAATTAATGCCGTTTCACTGTTTTTCTTTCAATTACGAAGCACACAGAACTGCCTTTCTATTCCCACTGAAGGGTTTAGTTATATATATGGAGCAATTGGACTTCAAGGATAACAAGCATCGCTCTTGCTGAGAAAACAAATGTATGTTTGAACGTATATACACGGACCATGCCTGCGGGATCTGGGGAGATGGGCACCACTCTAAAAGACAGTTTGACTTCCCTTCCCTTCCTTAGAATTACTGGCTTTAAAATTAGCATGTCACAGAGGAGAAAAAAAGTTCTTTTGCCAAGCCAGAAAGGTGAAGGGTTTGGGACAGCCTAATCTGCAGAGAACACTGGTTACTCTGATACCTGAATGCAACCAAGGCAGCAGCTCGCAGTGACTTTCGTTCATTTAGACCCAAGGAACAACGTTCCCAGGTGAGAGCTTCACCTCATCCCACATCCACCCGCTCCTGCTTTACCTCTTCTCCTCTTCCAGTTGGTTCAACAGCTCGATCTTCTCCTTCTGCATCCCATCCACCACGGCACGCGCACGCTGGAGGTTCCCCTCTGCCTCCGTGACGTACTGCAGGGAAAAAGGAGCCCCAGCCACAAGAGGCAGAAACATTTGAAGGGGTGGTGTTAAACAAATGAACAAAGACATGCAGGGGATCAGAACATAGGATTTTAAGGTTCTGATGACCCATTTCAGTGGCTTTTCTTGTAAAAAGCAAGATTTTCCAAAGCATCCAGTATATAAGCATGAAAAAGAAATGGCTGCTGGAAAATGAGTAACTTTGAGGTTTGATGCATGATTCAGAGACTCTGCATGACCAGAACCCTTTGGAGAATTCATCTCTGATTAGAGAATTAAAGAACTTTGAACTGGAGCAGTTTTCAAAATCCTGTATGAGGTTATTAGATCTAGTTCAACCCTGGTCACGAGGCCAGAGAGCCATTTCAGAACTGCATTAATTCATTTATTACTGGTAATTACTGGAAAAATACTCTATGCAAGAAGCTTTCAGGTTGCAACTGCTATGCCAGCAACATAAACGTGGATTTTTTAAGCTTTTATGTGCATAAAAATCACCTGTATAAATGCTTGTGGAATAAGAAAGCCAGAGATGATCAGTCCCTATCCTTGTAATTCTGTTGCCTCCATTAATGTGACCAGAACACATCCCTTTTGGCCGCATTGCTGTGACATATGAACTTAACTGATGTCCTCAGCAAGTGTATGATAATATCAAACTGCAATGCAGTTGCAGGCAAGGCTGGAGCAGGCAGCTAAGGGGAGCACATTTCCTTTCCACTTGCATTTCAGCATTCAGATGTATCAATCCACCACCAGACAGAAAACTATTTACTGCTCTTTTTGGCACATTTTTTTTTTTTTTGCTCCTTGCTTGGCAGAGAGGACACATTCTACTGTCAGGAATGGAGACAGCAGTGTGCACTTTCAGGGTGATTTTGTGCTGTCTATCATAATGTGATGCTTTCAGAGCACCCCAGATCTTCAGGCACTGGTAATGAAGCTAAGGATCCCACGAGCCACGTCGCTGCCTACCTGCTCATGCTGGGCCTTCATGATGGCAATCTCTTTTTCCACCTCGCAGATGTGGCTGGTGGCCTTTGCGACCTCAGCCCGCTCCAGGTCACGCTCTGCCAGCAGCTGCTCGATGTGCTGCTGCTTCTCCTTCAGTGCCTCCTGCAGGGCTGTGGTGCCGGAGATTTTTCGGGCATAACGAGAAGAGGTCTCCGTGAGCTGGAAAAGAGAGTAAAACAGGGGTAAAGCTGTGAGCTCCCCAAACTAGAACAGCTCGAAGAACTCCTGTTAAATCTGGGATGTGGCTCAACTACACATCACTTGGGCTGTACAGAGCTCGTAGTTCCCATTCTGGAGCCTACAGGTGGCATTAACGAGTTTGCAAAATAGATCTGGAAGCTGCTAGCAAACTCCATCGCTCTTCCTCACTGCAGTGGAAGGGCTGCTTCCCAAGGGACAGGATGTGGTGTGGGAACTGGGACAAGAGAGATCATAGTTGATTGTGTCATCTGCCTTTTTAAGCCTATTTTACTGATGGGTGCAGTCCCATGCCTGACATGAGCTCAGCTGGGGGGACCGATCTCTCCCGGAGACTGCTACAAACTGGATCCACTCCCAGGAAAGGCCACTGAGCCTTTTCCCCCAGCTGAGATGGCAGCAGGTGCTATGCAACATCTTTTACACTTCAAATTAAGAGGTGCTTTCTTCTACAACATTAGTGCCTGCCTTGGTGTCCACCTTCTTGAGAGTATTGCAAAACCCAGGACTTGCATTCCAGGAGGGTGTCACCCCTTCAGTGAGATGCCATCACTGCAGGATGCATAAAAGCAGCTGTTTAACAACAGCACAATGTTACCAACCAAGCGGGACAGGAGGCAAGAGCTTTTTTTTTTTTTTTTTTTTTAAACAAAGATCCTGTGCAAATCCAGCTCTGTGATAGCAGAAATTCATCCCATTGCAAAAAAAAAATCCATGCAAAAAGCCCCTTACCAGCCCACTGCGGCTGGGTCGGCCCCCAACGGACGATGCCACGGAGCTCACGGAGCTGATGGAGGAGCTGCTGGGGCTGTGGGTTAGGGCAGACACTCCCATGGCCATTCGCTTGCTCTTCTTCGCCTTGGCAGGGCTGGTGGATGGGAATCCGATGCGGATCACCTTGTGGATGGGAGCAAAGAGGCCAAACTTGGGGGGGCACTGAAAATACCTGCAATAGAGGAGAGACACCAAGAAAGAAGGGGTAAAAGTGGACAACTCGCCCAAGTCTCGCTCAGCCACACACGACCCTGGCCCTTCGTGATCCTTTCCTGGTTCTTTGCTCTGATGTGGCTTCCCATCCTGTCACTTGGAGTAGGAGATTATCATCTCTTGTATCAAAAGGACAGGCCCCAGCTCCAAGTTGCTTAAAGAGACTGTTCACATAGTGAAATACACCCTAATGTTTGCAGGGACTTAAATATGTGTGTTTATATTGTGTTTCACGCCAGTTTCAATGCAGGGAAGCTTTTTGCTGCATTTGGATAGCAGACATTTGGACAGACCCTAGCATGTTTTTCCTATCATCCCTCCAGATGGAGATGTGACACTGTCCAGTCAGAGTTCACTTTCCAGCTAAGAAAAGAGAAAGAAGTGAATGGAACAGCTTGAGAGAAAAACTCACTGCTCCAAACCCCATTTCTATCACAGCACCCATACACAAAGTGACAATACAGAGGGAGACTTGAACTTGGAATACATTCTTTTCTGTACATTCACTTTTTCAATGTGCTGAAGGGATTTTAGTGCCAAGGAACTTGGAACTTTGGTATTTCAGTATCTGAAAGAATGTAAAAATACCAACACCAAACATCCTCTGCTCTACAAGCTCCTCCTCAAAGGCTCTGTTGCAAGGCTGGGACAAAATATTGGGCCTTCGAAAGTTTGTCTCATATTTCCACAAAAATTGGCTCCTAATGAGTAAAATGTACAAAGCAATGCACTTGAGTGACGCTGGACATCAGAACCAGCTTCTCTCCGACGTGAGCGGCCGCTTCCCAGGGGCGCTCCGCGTGGAAGCTCCGGCAGCTGCACGGTTGTGTCCGGGGCACATCTCGGTACACGGGAGGGCAGAGAAGCCTGATCTCCACCACAGGGGAAGGGGAATCATTTGCAAGCATCTGCTCAAGTCCCCCCCATTTTTTTTTTCTCCCTCTTCCTCCCAAAACCACTTTAAAAAAAAACCTCTCACAACCCAAAACTCCCTTCTGCTGCCAACACGGGTTCTCAGGTTTGGGAAAACAGCCAGGCCACAGGCTGCCCTTGCCGCAGAGCAAAGACCCGAATAAGAGCAGCGTGACCTCGTGCAAACCCAGGCCACATGTGTAACTGTCCTAAGAACAAACTGGCACAGGTGACTGTACCCCAACACTAAAGGCTAAGTGTCCCAGAAGTCCCCTATTGCTTTTAGCAGGCCTAAACTTCTCCACAGAGGAAGAACGGGGAGCAGCAATGTCCTACAGACTTCCCCTAATCCTTCCCCTTTAATCGAAACCTCTTAACACTCCTCTTCCTCCTGTCCCTGCTCAACCTTTCCCACTCCAGACCTCCTGACGTGAAGCAAAGGAGAAGCATTGCACATAGGGTGCACATCTCCACCCTTGTCAATCCTGACCATGATGGAGCAGTCCCGGAGGAGAGTAACTCCAGAAGTCAGGTTTGAGTGGGGACAAGAAGCAGAGCCACCTGGAACTCGCTTATACTAACATCTATTCTGCACAGGCACAGAAAGTGGAATCTTGGATTTACTCCATGACTTACTTTACCCCAATTCTCTCGGGAGCAGCTGGAAGTCAGTAGCTATCTGCTGCCAACCGCTTGCTGCTCTCTCGTCCTGACACTGAACAGAGGACAATTTCTCTTATTTTAAATGAAAACACATGGCTGCTGGGCAAAAAGAGGCTGACACAACATGGGGAGCATTTATCGCAGGACCTGAGTTCTAACGAGGAAGGAATCCAGTCCCTTGGGAGCTCAGACATTATGTGGTTGCCTCCAACACAAGATTCCCTAAAGAAGCTCAGCAGTATTTCCTACCAGAGAACTTGGGAAGCAGGAGAAATTGGTTCCACCAGGATTTGAAGCAGGGTCAAAATGTTGCCGGATAACTCAGACTTGAGCATCTCCAAACTCCAAGTCCGAGGCTGGGGGTCATTTCCCTATCCAACTTGCACTGAACAGAAAAGTGACCTTCCAGAAAGCTTGCTAGATGGCCCTGATAGCATCTACAGATACCACCAAGGGCTTTCGTTTGAAAAGAAGGCAGTGGAGGGGCCTGTGGAGGTGGTAAGGTGTATTAGCAAACAGGCCTCACACCAGAGAACTATTAGGAGGACCCGGCAGCGACCACCAACTGCTCTTTCAGACCTCTGGGAATTTGTGCCCAGAAGAAAACAGCCATCGAGCAGGGGAAGAAAGAAAAAAGAATCCTAAGTCTCTATCCTGAGTAGTCCTGAAAGGGTGAATTGTAGAGTGCAAGAAGCAAGTGAACACACATTTGCAAGCTGATTTAACACTGTTACAGACTCACAGAAAACAAACCCTACTATAAGTCAACTTCTTCCTGTTCCCTGAAGCCATTCCAGGACCTTCTCTATAGACTTAGCTGACCTTGCTGTAAATCATTCCAGTGATGGGGTTTCTACAGATTTCCCTGAGAAACCACTCGAAAACGCAGAAGACTCCAAAGTAGACTCTTCCCTGAACCCCGTTACACACATGTACACGCTCCTCAGAGCACCGCCAGGCCCTGCCTGCCCTTCCCAGGTTCATCTCCAGGCTTCCCTTGGGAAGCGGGCAGGCCCTACACAACCCAGACCGCCTCCAAGTGCTCCCAGTACCTTGTACCAGCAACTGCCCCATCGTTCTTCCCCAGGGGCTCGTCCAGTTCCACGCCGCACCACTCTCCTTTGGCAAAGTCCGTCTCGCCCACGTAGCGCACGACGCCCGTCTTGGTCCCGCCAACCTGATGGGAAGCAGAACGCTGCGCGTTAGAGGCACTGGTACCACTGCAAGGCAAGGAATCGTAGAATCATAGAATGCTTCGGGTTGGAAGGGACCTCTAGAGATCATCTAGTCCAACCCCTGCACACGCAGGGTCACCTAGAGCACGTGGCACAGGACTGCGTCCAAGTGGGTTTGGAAGATCTCCAGAGAAGGAGACTCCACAACCTCTCTGGGCAGCCTGTTCCAGTGCTCTGGCACCCTCACTGGGAAGAAATTTTTCCTTAAGTTCCTGTGGAACTTTTGGTGTTTCAATTTGTGGCCATTACCTCTAGTTCTGTTGGCGGTCACCAGTGAAAAGAGGCCAGCACCATCCTCCTCACTGCCTCCCTTGAGGGACTTCTAGACACTGCTCAGGTCCCCTCTCAGCCTTCTCTTCTCCAGCTGAACAGGCCCAGCTCCCTCAGCCTCTCCTCATAGTAATGCGGAATGTGTGGAAATTACACATTTGTTTAACCTTGTCTCAGCTAAAGCCTAGCTTTAAAAAAGAAACGTCAAAAAAGAAGCTTATAATTAATTTTGCAAGTTCCCCTAAAAACACGAGTTAGTCTTCAGTAATTTTTCTGAATAAGGATTCTACAAATTGCTGCTTGTACAGAAGCTATTGATGTTGTTCCCTTAACTATAGGAAGGAGTAAAACATTTGCCAGTAAGTAAAGTATCACGAGAAAGCTGACCGGCCCAACAGCGCAGGGCATTGAGGAGGGAGAAGATAACACAAGTATTAGGTACTTGACAAGTAACATATTTGAACAGTTTCAGCAAAATTCAGTTCTTCTCATTCATGATCAAACTGCAGTCTCATTTTTGATTCAAGTTTAAAGGAAATTATTCCTTTAATATTAATGTCATGGTTTAATTCCATTCTGACATGTTTCTTTACCTGCATGAGCTCAATTCTGGGAGTAATTCATCATGGCATCCTCTATAGGAACTCACCGTTGCTTAAGCTTGTCAATTTTATATTTATTGAATTTTAATTGGAGATCCTGAGACACATTTGCTTTAACAAGACACATGAGCCTGACTCCACAGAGCCTCATGTAAATGCTTTAAAAATGGGCTCTCTTGGTTGGTATGAACTTCATCTCTCTGCTCAGGGGCCTCTGCTAGAGGACCTCGCTCCTCTGTCTATAGAGGTTTTATGACCGCTCAAGTATGTCCCCATAGATGTTACTTATCTGGGAAAGCTCTTCACAAGTCAGAAAGGAAATGGCCATTGCAATGGGCTCAATACACACGTTCTATAATCTCTATAATCTCTTATAAGGCAGCAATGCGTTCCTAATTCAGAGACATAAACTGAAAGTGTTAAGTGCAAATCAGGTCCAAAATTGCCCCAAACAGAAACATGATTGTTTGCTTTCAAAATAAGATTTTTAATTTTCTTTTTTGAGGGTTAATTATTCTGAAATACTCTCCATGAGGTACACCACATGATCCTACCACATTATCTTCTGTCCCAGGCCTGCCCGGACAGCCTGGTCTCCTCGTCCTCCTGAGGCTGGGGACACAGGTAGGAGCCAACGCTGGGCTGACTCGTACACGTGGCAGCACCTGGGTGTCCCTTCTCCTGCAGGCATGACAGCTCTTACGGATGGAGAGCCCTGAAAACTCATCCAACTCGGGACGTGTGGATTTATTCAGCTTTGACAAACTGCTAATGCTGCTAAAATAAATGACGTATTTTGGGAAAAGCTGCCTGGCAGGGTGTGTGTGAAACCAGTCTCATCTGAGCCGAAGCGTTGGCTTCCATTGGGTGCTTCCACACACCAGAAGGAGAGTGAAGGGCTCTTTGTGGACACCAGAAAGGGTGGCCACAGCACATGTAAGTCCTGGTGCCTCCTGGACTAGCCAGCACCCTCCTGTCCACTTCTAGCCTTTATAAAACATGTCCCAACCCAGCAGGCAGCCGAGCAAGGCTGGTTCCTACTTCACCAACACAACTGCTGGAGCCCCTGGGCCCCTTTCTGTCTGCCTTTGACTAAGGCTATTATCTTCACAACCTGGCCTTTTTTTCATGGAGAGGCCTCCAATATTTCCCACAGGTGGTCTTTGCCTTCACCTTTATGACAAAGGTTAAGGATGTATCTTAACTTGCAAATCAAAAAATCAGCAGCACATCATTATAGATCAGACACGTTTGCACTCCTCCATGCTCACCGCAGCATAAATTGTATTCAAATCAGTATCCCGAGGCTGAAAGACGATGATGCTATTCCTTCCAGACACCAGAGCTGCTAATATATCATTTCAACAATTTACCAAATTAGCGCCAGGCCCCGTCTCAGTCTGGCTGCTGCAAGGCAGCCTCCCTACAGCCCACGTTCGCTTCTCGCCCTCTGCTCTCAGCAGGACCCAGGGCACGTGGGCAAATACCCTCCAACACTGCTTGGGGGAAAAGAAATGAACAAATGTCCCTTATGCCGTGGGGACTGCTGCCTGCGATGCTCTGGGGCCAGCGACAGCCGCAGAGCCCTGCTCGAGCACCCCGGGCGCAAAGCGAGGCTGTTGGCTTCGGCTCCCAAGTCCCTGCGTCTGTATCTGCATCTCTGCTGCGGATTTATTCTGTGCGCTCGCTTGCCAAACAGCTTCCAGGAAATCGAGCGCTGCTGCGTAGAGGGTGGCGACCGGAGGAGCAAACGAGCTGGGCTCCTCTGCAGGGCTGCCCACGGGAAGGGAAAGGACGGAGGAGCTGGAGCAGGGCAGGCACAGGACGCTTCTTTTACTGAGAGAACCTTCAGCTACTTCTAATGAGCAGCTTTTGAGCTTGCTCCATGACTTTGGGAGGTTGTGGAGCCACAAGCCAAGAATTCGGGGCTCATTTTCACTGCAAGAGTACTCCTTGCTGCTGCCCAAGCCACAGCTGCGTGCTGTCCCTAGCCTGAAAGCCAAGGCCACCGTCCTTCCCCTAGGCACAACAGACACTTCTCACACATCTACCCAGACAAGGCGCCGACCTCCGCCTGGCAGTGATAGACGCCCGTGTTTCCATCCTGCCCATGGACCCAATGCCCTCTGGGCCTTCCCGTCTGCACAAGAGCTGCACGGGGACAAGCTGGACACCACCACGGACGCAGGGCACTCCCGCACGTGTATCCTTCTGGCACCAGGGAAAGCAATGCCCTCTGGATGCGGGAAAGCCTGAAATTGCAGCATCTCCTCCTCGTGACAAACTCCACCCATGTTAATAACATGGTCCATTCTGCCACAGGCGGCCTGCAACTCCTATTTAATGACAACTGCTGCAAATGGAAGCAAAGGAGGGTTTCGGGGTGTGTGCAGGCCCCCAGAGCCCCAAGGGTTAATTTGGCAGCAGGCAGCTGCTCTGGGCCACTTGCTTCCTCTTGGCCCCAGCACAGTGACCGGTGACAGGGAACATCCCTTCTGCGCCACGGCAGATCCGTGCTGCTCCACACCACACAACAGCGACAGCCCTACACTGTGCGGAAAGAACTCGGACCAGGAGCCCCACGTGTTTTCCCATCTTCTGAATCCTGCAAATAACTAGGAACTATCCTTGCCATTAGCCATCACAGCCCTCTGCATTGACCAAGGACCCACCCACCAATTGCTTGGGGCTCCATGACCTTGGACTATCACACCTGCAGTGGCTACTGCTTAAGTTAAGGCTGTAGCGATCCAGGTGATTTCTGCAGCCTGGACAAGGTCTCCCATTCAAAGATGTGTTTAAAGGCACCTCACACATGCAATTTTTTGCACTAAGAAGTCGTCTGACTAAGCCGAGGAGCAGTGGTTCCTCCTGCAAAGGAAGGAGCGGTGAGCGCAGAATTGACTTGATCACCATCCCTCGGGTTAGGTGTCCCCAAGACCAAAACCCAGCCTGAACGACAGCAGAGCTCACTTAGGGACTCTGCCCCACACACTGTGCTTAAAGCTAAGAGGACTCGTCATCACAACCCACCAACCATCGCTGTCCAGGGGATGCCGGGGTGGAGGTGATGGGGAAGGGGCTGTGCTCCCGCTCTGCTCCCTGCCTACTTCTACACGCTCCAGCCAGCACCAGCAAGCACTGCTCTCCCTACGGACCGAGCTCAAAACAGGCCATAAAATATTAATTGCATCTTCCCTGAAAACACTACCTTGGTAGAACTAAAGGAATATGATCCTCTTTTCTTTACAGTCTCGTTTCAACTCAGAATAGGCATCTGTAAAGCCCATACAGGAGCATTTCTGCACCTGCAAGACACAAGCAAGGTGGGAGAGCTCAGCCTATTTACCAAGAAAAGAAAGAGCAGAAACCACTCGTGCCCAGCACCTCAAAGACCTTCACAGCAGCCAGGCTTCGGTCTCACACACTGAAATAACTCAGCACAAGGCGACAGCAGCAGAGCAAGTCTCTGCCCAGCTGCAATTCTCCCCACTGGGGAGCTTCTAATGGACGAGATTTTTCATCCAGGTGGTTAAGGTTCTCAGCAGCTTTGGGCTAGCAGATAGAGGCTGGGAGGGTCACAGGGGGACTTAAAGAAAGGAACGTGATTAGTTTATTCATGAGAATTTTCTGCAGCTTGCCCGGAGCCACGGGTTGTCATTCACTGCAAGTGGAAACACTTTGCAGCGTGCAGAGGAGGAATGACTAAAATCACTGGCACAGGGGTGAACCCAGAACCTGTTTCCAGCAGGCAGAACCAGCCGACTGGGCTGGTCCTTGCCTGTCACTCAGCCAAGGCACCGCTCCAGCGTAAGCTTCTGTGTCCGGGGGCTTTCTGCTCCGTAAGCACCGATTTTTGATTCTGCCACTTGCCCTTTTTTTGCAAAAAATCACAAGCCTAGAGCTCACCTGAAGAATACACAGGGCAACCCCCTACAATAATGCATTCGATCAGCAACTAGGACAACGCAGACATTAGTCCTGTTTATTACTAAGTTTTGTTACTGAAAAGAGCTTTCCCAGTGAGGAAGCAGAAGGGTGGCTATAGGGCACGATGCCTCTGCAAAAAGAATTTCTTAATTTCACTAGACTGGGATAGAGAGAAGCAACACGGCAGAGATCTTCCCAAGCAGCTGCTCCATCTCCCTTTCCATCCTTTCTTTTCCCAAGCTGGAAAAAGACAAGCTAGCCTCACCCTAAAAGCAATGCTCTAGTGCTGACCACCAGCATCTGCAAACCACGTAGATCCTCCTCTGGAAGCTCTGCTTTGCTTAGGCAAAGATTAATTGTTCCACTTTCATTTGTCAGACTAAGAAATGATTCTACAATATTAGGGCTTATTTTTTTTCCCCCTCTAATCTCTTTAATGCAGTTTTTGCATCTCTGGGAAAAAGTCCGAGTTGGAAAGTGCCAAAGGCAAATATTATCTAATTCTTCTAATGGAAAGTGCCACTAAGCCACTTTAAGCAACCGCTGCAGAATGGGTCTGTGAACAAAGCTACTGAAAAAAATAAAAAAAGAAACTTCAAGCTGTAATGCACTTTAACAAAGTTAAAGAAAGCCACTAGCAGGAAACCCAGCGCACAGAACATCAATGCCCACAGCAGCCAAGTGTGTATCCAACAGGACCAGGGGAGACCCCGCAGACTTGTGCCCTGCCAGTGATGCCATTACTGAAAATTCACCTTTTTTATTTGAGACATTTTCATCTGAGACCTTCTCAAATAAAATAATCTTCCAGGAAAGCATGGAGTAAGAGTAATAAAGGCAACTGAAGTCAAAGCTGAAGATCTACTCGGGGAATCTGAGGCAATTCGGGCTAACCCAGAATTCTTGTTTGTATATTCAAATATCAAACATGACTAGCTGATGTCTCTATTACTGAAAAACAAGGGGGAAAAAAAAAGGAAGAAGAAAACCCCACCAGCTGCCAAGCCAAGCACATATTACTGGACCATAATGGCAAATGGTTTTCTTGTTGTCATCATTAGCCTCTCGCTTGCCATGCTCTGATGCTGCCTATGGACAGCTCCACGTGCTGAGCAGAGCCGGGCAATGCAGCAACGATCTCAGCAAAGTTATTTTACAGCTTTGGAGGGGGGAACACATCCTGGCAGGCGGGCAGGGAGTGGTTTTAGGAAGGCAGCTTCGTTCAAAAATACTCTCCAAACCAGCACAGGGGTGAGATGCTAACAACAGCTTGTATGAAACGCGATGCAAATGGTTAGTAGGCTGGGCCGCCCCAAGCTGAGCACCAGGTTAAACGGCCAGACACTGCCAGCCTTGGAAAACGTTATCCCATCGCCTAGCTGGGTCCCAAAGATCTACTGCCAAGATTACTGTAGGTCTTCATGTTTTGCAGTTTACCTTACCTGACTGCTGGTGCTAAAACCGAGCGCTCTGATTTCAGCTGCAGACCTTTCCAAGAGCTGCTCGTAACACGTAGAGTGGGGAAAGGGAGCAAGGGACCAAAGGAGGCCTGAATTGCTGAGGCTCATATTTTTCCAATTGTATTATATATGTGCATATGCAATATGCAAAATATTAATATGCAACAGCACACATACACGTATTATATATTAAAATATCTCAATAGAGAACATGTGCAATATATTTTGCCACCCTTCGAGCAGCCTGTGCCATGTGCAGTGCTGCTGAGAAGATGCGGGGGTGGCCTGTCACCAGCCCAGAGCTGCTCTAAGGTGGCCCAGCTGCCCGGAGCTCCCCAGGGACCTCAACCCCATCAGCTGGTGCTGCAGCTTGGGATCCCCAGGGATTCACCAAGGATACCACCAGCAGAAGTGCCCGCTCTCCAAGAGCAGGCAGTGCATTCGAGACTGCATTGGGTACCCTCTGGCACATGGTCCTCTCAAATTCACCCTGGCCAAGAAACTTGTTCCCAAACAGGCCACTCTGCCACCTAAAGAGCATAGGGAGCCCCGTCAAGATGTTTTGTGAGGCTGCTGTTAGCAGAACCGCAGCGTTAGATGGCTCCTCACAGGTAATTCAGTAGTACAAGGGGAACTGCATAAAATGGATAAGTATTTGGCCCTGAATACTCATCTTGCTCTGTTAGAGACTGGCATATTTTAGGCTAAAACAAAAAACTCAGTCTATTTTTCAATCACTGCTTTGGTCACCAAAAAAAATATATATATATACACTACTCATCCCAGCACACCCTTGGACTGCTCAGAAGAACACAGATTAGGGATTTGGTAGAAGGTGACATTAATCATACAGAGATGGGTATCTCCTACTATAGACTTCGATATTAGAGATAGATACCCAAAAAGCAAATAACAACCATGTAAAAGAGGAGCCAGACTTTCTCGGACATAGCAGACTGACTGCTTTGGGACCTGCCAGCTCTGTCCAAGAAAGTTACCTTTATCTTTTTATTCCGTAGATGCTGCAGGACACGCTGTCATGAGAGATCTGTGTTTGAGCACTTGATCCCTCCCAATAGCTAGTATTGCCGTCTGTATCATATACACTAAAAACGAGTAAACTCTGTTTTGCAAACTATAAAACAAACTCAATTTGTCCATGGTTTGATGTTTTTATTTCCCTTTTAAACCCCCACTTTGCTAGGGTATAAATGGTGGCAAAGTTGAGACAAGCTTCTGTTAAGCCATTTATAGCCCAATTAAACCATTTTATCTTAAAGTCATCAGGTATTCTATTTTAGATGATGAAAACACCACCACAATCAGCCTTAGAGAATCCAGCTGTAAGCACAGTGATCTGATTTTCAAAACAACCATAAGCTCCTTTCTATATGGGAGTTAGTGCCATATCCAAAATATAAAAATGCAAATAAATGAAGGGGAAAGATTAAATACAAGAGGATCTTGCCAACACCTGCAGGATACCTATGACCACATGTAACAAGGCCTTTTTTTTTTTTTTTTTTTGGGCAATTTGTGAAAAAGCCTCAATAACATGCCATTGCAGACTGTAACAAAACATACAACGAGTTAAAAAAAGAAAAAAGATTTTCCTCTGCTATTTCCCTCTCAGATTTCAGTTGCACTCTCGAATGCTCCTCTACTGCTTGGGATTCATCCAATATCCACCCTGGAACAAGGTGCCTTGCATTCATTTAAGAGACCTCTCTGTAGGATGCAGCATCCCTGGCCACAGTAAAAAGCAGCTCAAGGTCTGCCTGGTACAGGCACCTGCGAGAACCATGTTCTGGGGCACAGCTCACCCCACCACCAACCCTTCCTTGCTCTTGTCCCTAAAGCCCAGGGACACTCAGGGACAAACTCTGGTCCTTGTCTTTCAAAGGGAATCCCCACGATAACTCACCAGTACGCGGTCTCCGAGCCTCAGATCCTTCTCCCCTTTCTTCACGGACCCGCTGTCCGAGAGGTTGGACCCGGACTCGTTGCCTGTCTTCATGGCGCTGTTCAAGACGCTCTCGCGCAGGGGGATGACGCGAGTGGAGAGGGGCGGCGTGGCCGTCCCCGAGTGCAGCGACAGGTTCTGCGCCGTGAGGGAGTCCACAGAGTGCGCGTCGCTCCCCGAGCCCTCGGCCACGGGCTGCCGGGTCAGCTTGGAAGGCCGCGTGAAGATGCCCTGCAGCGGCGGGCACTCGAAGTAGCGCACGCCGCCCACGGAGCCGTCGTTCTTGCCCACCGGGTCATCCAGCACCACCCCTGCCCACTGGCCTGGCGCAAACTGCGTCTCCCCGAGGTACTGGATGACGCCCGGCTTCACGCCGTTCACCCAGACACGCTCGCCCACCACGAAGTCTCCCAGGAAGTCATCGCCCACCTCGGCGGCCTTCGGGCCCAGCTTCTCGGCACTGCTGGTGGCAGAGGCGGCAGCCTGCTTGTGGAGAGGCGAGCCTGCGGAGCAAGGGCAAAGGGTGAGGAGAAAACACCGGAAAGAGCAGCAAAAATAAAAACAAGGAAGCATCGGGGACCACAACTGGGTTTGCAGATCATTTTGCACCCAAGTAGCCCTGTTACTTGCTGTCTTCCTTGGCTGGAAAGCAGCTGGCATTGAGCATCCCACATTGAGCCCGGTTTTGGCAGGTCTCACATACAACTGCGAGCCAACCTTGAGTCTTTATACCCCCTTATGACACCCATCTTATTTCTGTCACAACACCGAGGGACAGGCTGAGGGGTGGCACTAGTATGAGCAAGTTCAGAGGGGCCGGAGCAGTGGTAGGTGCTAAGATCCAAACAGAGACCTAGCATCACCTTTAAGGAAAGCTGCCAAAGTTCATATTCCATCAGGAACACAGAGACACTGATGCTGAAGTGCCTGGTACCACAGGAATCCAGCCGTGTCTTAAAGCTCGGACTAACTGCCTGCATCAAGAGACGCAGCCAAGGGTGTTAACAACTCCTGGAGGAGGCCACAGCTGGCTCTGCAAATTAACTCAGCTTGTGAGGCTGCCGAGACCCTCTTTACTGGAGCAGAAAGCTGTGGGAAGAAGACTAGCAGACTTCTGGGCTAATTGTCAATACACATGGTGCATCTAGAAACAGAGACACCATTTATATTGAAAAGCACCCCAGACCCCAGTGCCCTTCCCCATGCTCATGTGTCCAGAGAGGATCAAGCAGCACCCTGAATTGAGCAGCAGGAGCAGGGGGCCGAGGCAAGGGAGCTCCTACTAGCAGCCTTGTTTGCCTGCTTTGGTCCTAGTAACAGCAGGAGCAGAGGGACAGCCCAAGGGAGAAGCCAGTAGCATCCCCAAGAGGACATTTCATTTGCTGGTGGACAAGGCTCCTGAAGAAAGTCTGATCATGTCAAACTGGAATGTTTATCTGAAGTGAACTGTGAGATTTGTTCAGCCTCAGCCATCACTACGGCTCAGCCTGCACTGCTTCCCTTTCACAACAGGCCTGACAGATCAAGTCCAGCTCCTAGAAAGCCCAAAGAAGAGACAAGCCCTCACACCAAGACACTTGCTACATCCCTAATATCAGGAAATGGCTAGTATGGAGAACTTGGTTCTGCATTAGATAGTGTTAATATTGATTTTGGTTATCTTTAGACTCCAGAGTCAACATCCTGATAAATGACTATGGAGCGATTGCATCAGCTTGTTTGTGTCTGTACTCAATCTGAAGTAGAAGACAGAGCAGTTAAGCCATATTCAGAGGATGAATTTTTAAGATCAAAATCACCTCCAAGCTGCTCACCAGTCTTCTCTTCACAGAGAAAATGAGTCAAGCTCAACTATTCTGTGATACCCCTCTAGTTTTAGCCTCAGTAATACATCTTAGCAAGAGGAAGAGCTGTAAAACCCATCCAGACTGCAGCCCTCACTGTATTTCACTACAAGAGCAGATACCTCCAAAAAGCACTTGGATGGGGAGGATGAGGGCAGAAACAGTTCGCTGGACTCCTGATACAATCCAGTGTCTCCAGAAAAGACAAAAATCTTAGTGGCATTTAATATACTCTGCTCATTTTTAAGTGCCTGCCTGCCAACACACAGTAATTACCACCTCCCGGGGAGACTGTCTAATTGCTGAAGCCAAAATGCAGCAATAACCGGGAAACGCTGGCAGAGGACACGCTCCAAACAAAGCAACACATCCAGAAATGCAGTGATTCCTTAGCAGGCACTGAAGGAGGCAGAAGGATGGGATTTAAACAAGGAACTGGCATACGTTCACCTTTTCCATTGTGACCATGTTCTTGGAATTTGAAATTTTACTTACTCTTCATTACCAGCGTATAAAATATCACTAAGTCACCAATTTTTAAACAATTTTCAAACAAGTAACCACATGGTCTGGGACACTGACCTTCCTCCTCACAGCCTTGGAGGGCAAAGGCTACAAAAGTCATCAGCAGTGTGAGGTTTGTGGGGAAAATATCACTAAAATCCTTACAATATAGCCAAGACACTGCCACATTTTCACAGAACGGTTAAGGTTGGAAGGGACCTCTAAAAATCCTCTAGTCCAAGCCCTGCTCCAGCAGGGACACCCAGAGCACGAGGCACAGGGTGGCATCCAGGCGGGTTTGAAGATCTCCAGAGGAGACTCCACAGCCTCTCTGGGCAAAGAGAGACTGTCCATGGGACCGTCTCTTTGCTCATGAGACATTTTCAGAGATGTTAAGAGCTGTAATGGTCAGACTAGACCCATTCTTCCTGGTTTCTGGTTTGATTAATCCAGCCATAGTTGACCAGGCAATACCCAGAATAGCGGAAGTAGATTAAAGCCACGATTCCCCCAGCCCAGCATGTCATAATCAGCCCTTCAGCAGACAAAAAGTGGTAATGAGTAACTTTTCTCCAAGTCCAGAAATATCTCAGAGCAGCCCAAAGCATAAGTTAGCTGACAGCAGGAACCAGTGCTAACTTCTGCTGTCTGAAGGGTGCCGCTCTTCAAGACCCATCATCTGCAGATACCATTATCATCTCCAAGTAGCAACTTCAGCTTAGAGAAATCCAACCAAATACTCAATATTCCTGAGCTTTCCCCAGCCTGCAGCACCGAAACATCTGCTCTGTTTCTGCCTCATTTGGATTTGCTGCTTCTGGTAAGAAAGGTGTTTTGTCTGATTCCCCTGTTAAACACAGAGAAGATTCAAGAAAAACTTCCTATCAGCAAAGCAAGGGTACAGATCCTAGAGATAAAGTCGAGAATAAAGTCAGACGAGAAACAAACCCAACAAAATACAAATCTAGACAAATGGGTTACATTCAGCTCCAACGTCATCCTCAGTAGTCACCTGGCGATGCCAGTGAAGGAGCCGGAGGGACTCACTCCATGTCACTACTGGGCACCTCCCCTCAGCAGCTCACCTGGAAGCTGGCAGTGGGAAAAACTCTTCTCCTTGGCTTCGGGCTGTGCTGACTCTCTTCCCCTGTCCAGCACAAACCCCTCTTGCTGAGTGAGACGGGAGGACAACTCCTCCTCTCTGCCTCCTTCTCCACATGCAGCGAGCGGGGTCTCCTCCGCTCGGGGCTCCAGCCCATTGTGCACGTTGGCCAGCTCATTATTTCCAGTGTAAATGCTTTTCCTGTAGGTCACAGCACTTTTGGGATTGAACAACAACCTATAAATCAACGTCTCGCACGGCATCCGCTAAGCACGGGTCTTATCCAACTCCACATCTCCACTTTGGGTTTCGTGGGCCACGCAGGACACGCTGCTAAGAGCCTCAGTAGACCTGGCACATGGGGCCCTTTCTGCAAACTCCTTCTGAGAAGTTTAGGGGCCCCATGGACGGTGGACCCCGGGCGCAGACACATCGAGAGCCTAATATGCTCCTCCAAGCCAAGAGCTGAAGGGGCTGCAGACTTTAACTGACGCTTCCGCCTGTTCCTGTGGCTCTAATAATATATTTACTTAAGCATATTTAAGCACCATAATTTTCAATATTTATACATTTTTATAAAAAAAAAAAAAGTCCACATCCAACAGAACCACGCTTATTCCACATATTCTCTCATGCCACAGTACGTCACTGTGGGCACGCCTGTACATTTCCTAGCCCTGGACAATTGAAACAAAGGGGAAAAGGACTTTTTTATTATTATAATTGAAGAGGAGGTGGGAGAGGAAGAGCTTTGCACAAGCAGCGGTGCGGTGAGCAGCGCCCATGCCCTTCCTGCAGCCCGCTGGACCCCTTTGTAACCTTCTTGCTCCAGAGAGATGTACCAGGCACCCTGGCTGCCTGAGGAATCAGAAACTCAATAGCCTGTTGTGTTGCCATGGGAATCAGGAGACAGGCAGTTAATTGATAAAATGTAAGCACATTAGATTAAAAAAAGAAAAAAAAAGGAGAGAGAAGGAGAAGAGATGCCAGAGTAGCGACTCCTGCCAAGAGGGAGGAAAAAGTGGGAAAATGTGGTATTTACAGAAGAGCTTTACACTGGCCTTAGGAGAGGCCTGTTTTCCCTCACTATTTTAATTTTCAGACACTGCTTTAAACCACAGGGCAAGTGATTTGGCCTGTACCTAACAAAACCCGAACTTGGGCAGATGAAGCACTCTGCAGTCCTGCAGAAGCCGTGCCTGCAGGAACGCCACCACGCCACGACTCGGAGCATCACCCGTCCCTGCCCGCGCTGCGAGGGGCACCGGGCCCAGGGAGAGCGGCTCTGCCATGAGAGTAACGAGCCAAAAAGCCATGGGAGCAGCTCTGCCCCCAGCAGCCTGGGCACGAGGGACCTCGGACAGTCCCATGAGCAGGGGACCTCGAGGGTACCTGAAGCCAAGACAGGTTGCCACGTGGAAAGCCCTGCTGCCACCAGCCAAGAGGAGTAACGTGTGTTTTTTATTGCAGCAAAGATTATGCAAGAGCTTACAAGACAGGGGAGCTCTGTGAGCGCTCCCCGCTTGCCTGGTTCAACGCTCCGGAGATGCCGAGCGGGATCCAGACTCAGCTGGAATGTCACATGTTGCCTCTGTTTCAACTGCAGCTGCACTTGGGACACAGATGCAAAGGATGACAAACTTCCCCCTTGCCCAACATCTCACATATGAGGTGGAGAATATCAGGGCACCATCTCTGCAGCCAGGCCCCGACGTGCTTGAGTCCTTTGCTCTGACCCCTTGCTCTCGCATTACCCTCGTGTGTCTTGGTCTGCAGGGCTGTGTCACCTCCACCCACAGCGCCAGCCAGAATAGAGCTCCCCACTCAGAAGGGGGAGAAAAGGACTGTACAGAGCATCAGCTGAAATGGAAACTCAAGGCTTAATCCCTACAGATCCAGCAGCTGGTCTACCACGAAGACGCCAGGAGATGAAGCCTGTTGGATTCCCAGAAGCTGCTGGTGGCACAAGGGGACACGCAGCTCCATTCAGCAACATGCAGCCACCCAGCTCTCCCATGGGAGAAGGCTGGGATGCCTGCTGTCTGCACAGGGCTTGGCTACCAGAAAACCTCCCCTATTCCCAGATCCCCTTGCAGGAACTGGAGCTTCTCACAGCAGCTTGGATAACGTAAAAACAACAAAGCAGCTGCTTTTTCCAAGATTTATCACAGCCCTTTCGAGCTGCAGGACAAGGCAGATCTGGGGAATAGGGGCTGCTGGAGGAAGCAAAACCTCTCAGGCGAGCGCTGAAATCCCGAGGGGTTCAGGGCCTGCTTGGAAGCAACAACTGAAAGCTGAAAACCTGGGACTGTCATCACCGATGTTATGGGACATAAACCTAACTGACTGGCACAGGATTTTGCCACTGACTCGTTCGGACAGATATTTGTATCCATGGGGCAGCTGGGAAGGGCTCTGAGCCTCCAACCACGGCGCCGAACAAAGAGTTTCTTTTAAAGGTCTCTGTCAAGAGGCCGGCTGGTACCAAACCCGCTCGCCGCGGGAGGACGGGCCCTCGCGGTGCCCGCTGGAGACGGGAGGGATGGAGGAGCCAGGATCCTACCGAGCCTCGCCGGGTTACACAGCATCGGGCCAGCGTAAGTCAAAAAGAAACAAACTGAACAGGCAAATAATGGCATCCTTTAGAGCAGTATTCCATTTGCCTGGAAAATAATTAAAAAGCCCCACAAGCTACAGGTCCTGAAGTTTGACAGGAAAAAAAATATGAGTCCTTGTGCCTTCCTGCCCACCCTGCATCAAACCTTAGCCACAGACCCCCTTTGAGAAGCTAGGGCTGTGCCATAGCAATCCCTGGCATGAGGCTGATAATACAGATTTGATTCTTAAATAAACAAGGACAAAATTGCTTCAATTAGGAAACACTTCCCTTGGAAGCATCATTCAGCATAGCTTATTTTAAGTAGAGGGATGTTTTCCCCTTTTAAATAAACCTGATGTAAACATTTGATATGTTCCCCTCTCTCCAAATCCAAACCAGATCACCTGGCTCAGACCACTGCAATTACAGTACCAAAGAGAAAGAGGTGCATTAGGAAACACTCTGGGATTGTGTACTGTGGCATCCTGTAAAACGGCTCAGAGCAAGAACAGCAACTGGGAGGAGATGCAGTTATAGGGATGACTCCAACCACATGCAGGTATCTGCCTCCGAACAGCCCAAACGCCGGAGCACAGAGCACCAGGAAACTTGCTCCACTCCCACCATGGGCTCCACTTCTTGTTAACCCAGAGCAAAGCTCATTTCTCAAACTCTTCTCTTTGTAGAATGGGCAGAAAGAAGAAAACTTGGGAACAAGCTCCGTTCCAACCCTGGCCTGCAGCCGGCGCGCGCAGTCGTCCGTGATTTCGGAAGCTGTGGGAATTCCATAAGTACCCTCAGGGTCTGGGGGGTTGCTCGCAGGGACGTGAGGACAGCTGCTCTCAGCAAGCTGATCCAGCGACAAGAAGAAAGAAAAGGGGCAGACGCAGATCTTTAATGAGACATTTACAAATGATTTCCCAGACGGAGCGCTGGGAACAGCAGTCTCAGGACACCTTATCTTGAGCCACAAAAAAGCAGCCAAGCAAAGCACGGTGCTTGCCCTTGACCAGGGAAACGATCAGGCAGCCGGGTTTGGGACTCAGTTTGAAATTTCACAGCTTTGGTGTAGAAGTTTTGCCCAGGCATTGCTTGCACACAGAGCTCGCTCAGATGGGCCCCACTGCCACCCCTACCCAGCTGCATTAGCCCTTGGAAGCAGCCAGCCAAGCAGCACATTGCTCAAGCAGGTGTGCACGGAAAGGCCCGTGGCTTAGTCACACGGAAACGATGGCATTAGCTCACTGCCAGTGCAATTGAGAAGGAAAGGTACCAGAAAATAGCCTGGTTTTCTCCCCCAGGAGAGTAATTAGGTGATGATCTCATGGAGCTGGCGCAGAGGATGACCAGTTCCAAAGCACCAGGTCTCATGCCTTAAGGATCCATAAGGAGCATGATAAAGGTGTTGTGCTGCTCCATGTGCAGCACTCAGGGTGGTTACTACCTGGACATCACCTGAGCACGCAGCAGCAGGACCAGAGCTCTAGTGATCCAGGGAAAGGAAGGTTAAATCACATGAACAGAGACGGTTCAGATTTTGATGTAGGCACAGATGGGCTAGTCACAGAGTCCTGCTTTTCACCTACAACTTGAAGCTCAAGTATAGCAGTGGCTGCTTGAGTGCACACAGGGATTGCAGCCTCCTCCTCTCCACGCAAGCATCTGTGTATTATCTTTCTGGTGAGATTCCTCTCTACAAACACTCTTCCTCTTTGCAAAACAACAAGGTCACATAGAGCTTTAGTACCAAGAGCCAAATTCAGCTTTCATTTGAGCCCCTCCACTCCGAGCAGGTCCCATCCATCTCTCAGCACCGAGGATGAGCACGTAACATGCTCTTCACAGCAACTTCTTTGCAGGAGCTCACAGCCTTCTTGCAGTTGCTTTCTCATGCCCCATCTTACAGCTTCTTTTGTGGGGAAAAAAGAAAAAAAAGAAGTAACAACCAACATGTAATATGAAAGAGGGGCCTATTTTCTGAGCAAGCTTGGAGAACAGCAAAGTTCCCACTGTTAATTGAACCACTGGGATGGTACCTGCATTAAAGGCAAGCAACACGCTGTCCGTCTTGCTCATCATTTCTTTCTGGTAAAAAACTACACCAATTCAACTACACCCTTCCTTTGGATCCTGCCTCGCTGGCCTCTAAGGGGCACTTCAAGAAGCCTTCTGCAGTCTCCCCAGGTCCCAAAGGGAATTGCAGCAACAGCAAAAACCCTCTTAATTGCCAAACTATCGCGCATGCAACCCTAGGGCTACGCTGAAACACGGCCCTGATTCATTCCCTCCACAGCCATTTATTTCGCAGCCCCACGCCTGGGTCGGGGCGATACGTCTGCCGCAAAGGACGCACAACCGCCCGGCTCCGCGTAGGCTACACCGAGCGCAGGTTTGTTGCATTGTTTTCGTTTCACCTAATCTCATAAAAAGGATTTTTGAGAGCAGATTAGCATCGAGGCATCTGCTTTATTCCAAATATCTGGCTTAAAAAAAGCCCAACATCCCAATGAAAAGATAAGGAGATATATATGAACAGAAAATAAGCAAGTTATTTATTTGCAGTAGATACCCTTTTCTGTGAGGGAAGAGGGGGGTAGTCAAAATGCACCCCTAAAAATGTGAGCTATGCTACAAAAATCCAAACCAAACAGCTTTAATATCTCAGTGATCCCATGAAACAACCCATTAAGCACTCCCAGGACATGAGCGCTGAGCTCGAGCTTCCAAATTCCACAAAACAGGCTTAGTGCATTACGTTTTATCTTTGACCAGAGGTCAACATAATGTAGCAACAATGTGATGCCACTTTGATCCTACAGATTCTCCTATGCCAAGGGGAAATCTTTCCTTTGATTTCGGTGAATATTGGCTAAGGTTTCTAATGATTAACCTTCACCCTCACTTCCCTGGCTGTAGCTGCGGGCCCACCAGCGTTACGGACTCGCGCCAGCCAGGCCGGGCAGGACTCGGTTCATTACATACAAACCACCAGGAGCTGCACGTCTTGGGGAGGCAGATTTTCTTTCCCTCCTGCTCTGTGAGTAGTTGCAGAGACAAGGAGGGTGTCGGGACTCCATATACCCTCAGTGTGTCCTTGCATCTCACTCTACAGTGAGAGCACGGAACATTAAGGATTAACTGTATCAAATCCTGCTAAGAGCATCTAATGATTAAGACAATTAAAACTAGGCTCTGATTCGTCTCTAGATGTCATCTGTGAAGCCGATTAGATCAAGAGGAATTCAGGGCCCTTTTGGGTTGCTTAGGGTTCATCGAGTCACCTCTCCTTGGAAGAGACATCCTGCTTTGCCATCATGCCAAGAAGCATCTGGCTTCTCTCTCTCATCAGCAAGTTTTCCTGTAGGCAGCCCTTAGAGGTGCATTCTTATTTTCCTTCAGATATTCATCAGCTTCTTGAAGAGCTGATTGCCTGCACGCAGGTGCATGATGTAGCTGTTTCTACTGGCTGGTACATAAGCTGCTGATATCGGAACAGCCGGGTCTGTTGATATTGGAGCAGTCGGGCACTTGATCTCAAACGATGCTCCTTGGTACCCTGTCCTCCCGAATTCCCCAGCAGCTGAAGATGCTGTGAACGCTGCCCGACAGACCCGTTACGAGAAAGGAGGGCCTAAAAATCAAACTTCACGGGCACCGGGAATGCATTTCCAGTAATGGCCACCAACCAAACTTGAGGAATATCCGTTCATGATTGCAGCCCTGATTTAACTGAGGACAAGACTCGGACCTGAGTGTTGACAACACTCATCACTCCAGGAGGCCTGAAGCAAAATGGCAAAAGGAAGCGTTTGCTAGAAAAACAGCAGCCTCTGGCCCCTTGGCAGGGGGTCTTTTCTTGCAATTTGTCAGTGCACAGCACCCCAGTTAATACTAATCAAGAGCCAAAGCCTTTCTACAGACAAGAATTAGCTCCCTATGGCCATGTCAGTCCATCAACTGCTCCGGACACCGCGGTTCCATTTCTTTTGTTTCAGACCAAACAGTCATTTAGTGTTTTTCATATTAATTCTCACTGCCAAATAAATACATTGATAGCAAACCAGGCAGCCTCAGCACATTCTCTTGCAGCTTAACAGGAAAAACTTTTGCTAAAATAATACTAAATGATCACTGATTACTTAAGAATAACCTACCCAAGCCACCTCTTATTACCTAGGCAGAAATTCCTTATCAGTAACTTACTTCCTCTATCCACTTTACTGCAAAATAAATTCAGAGGCAACAAAAAAATACTTCCTACTGCTGTGTGTCCAACTGACTCCAACCCAGAGGCAACAACAACAACAAAAAAATACTTCTTACTGCTGTGTGTCCAACTGACTCCAACAAAAGCCTGAGAATCTTCAGGGGTCAAATAACTTATTTCCAAGTTAATTTACCAGGATGTTACTGTTAATCCTCCTGCAGATAAGAAGAATGAAGATTTCACACTGAGGAAGAATAAAACAATAATCCCACAGAGAAGCTAAGGTGGTGGTGGTGAGATTTATACTCCTCAGGCAGAATTCATGCAAGTGAAGCTCATTAATGGTGACAGAGCCTATGCAAAGACTGTTTTCTCCATGTAGAAATGCCAGGTCGCTGAAACTGGAAGAGATCCACCAAAGCTGGCTGTATTTGCAAGAAAAAAAAGTGTATTTCATGCATACGAGTATAATATACAGATATATAAGTATGTATTTAAAGATTCCCAGAAGGCTGAACTGGAAGAGATCCACCAAAGCTGGTTGTATTTGCAAGAAGAAAAAAAAGTGTATTTCATGCATATGAGTATAATATACATATATATAGGTATGTATTTAAAGATTCCCAGAAGGCTCAAAGTTTGACTGAGCCTCAGCAGAAAGCTCATTCTACACAATTTCCACAGGAAGTCTTTTTCAATTGCAAAGAGGAAACTAAAACAGAACCCAGGGAGTCCCACCTGTCTGGCCCTCTCCGCTGGCCTTTTTGCTTCTGAGGACTGAGGGGTGCTGGGCAGCAAGGTCCTCAAAGAGGCAGCCCAAATTCCCTGGCCATGCATCCAACTCCACCAATGAAGCCACCCCAGCAGCTGCCAGGCGAGAGGAAAGCTCACATTCCCCGTGGGATGGTGGTATCCATCACCAAGAAATCATCTCCAACACCCAATTCGGCACTCGCTAAGCACAGAACGGGCATGAGACAGTGGAAACAGGACACCAACCACCCCAAGAAAAGGAGGAACCAGGAGCCAAGTGTGACTAGCTACTCTCTAGCTAACATTGCTCCAAGTTATAAACCCCCTTTGCTACTTGCCTGCCCTAGCGAGCCAGGCGTCTATTGCTCTTTAATGGCCTCGGGAGTGCCGCAATCCGCTTGGCTTTTCAGTGAACAGAAGCGAACAACATTTACAAAGTTGAATTCCATGCCAGGAAATAATAATAGTCCTGTGCATTATTTCCAATGAGAAACAAATGCACATGCATTTATATGAAAATTAGAAGGCATTCCCAGGCTCCTGGCAAAGCTCTTGTGCAGCTTAACTATTAACAGAGCCTGTGCAGTCTCTGGCAAAAATGTTGGGCACCAGCTGAAAAGCAGTTTTGATACCCAGTCGACAGGCCTAAATAGGGTGTTCGGGTCATGAGTTTTTGCACCTGCCACGCAGAAAGACAGAATCCAGCTGTAAATCTCCAAATCCAGGCTGGGCGCAGCCTCTTTAAGGCTTGCAAAAAATGAAACGGGTCTGGGCTCCTTCGCCTGCAACGCTGACGTCCCCATTACGCAGGTCTGTCTGCAAACACTAGTTTCCCTTTTTGCTATAATTTTTTAATCGAAGAGAAGATTTCAGGACTATAAAAAGCTCTGGAAACGGAGCCAGCAGCGAGGAAAAAGTATGAAATGAAAGAAGCAGAACTTATTCTTTCCTATCACTCACACGTGCTACAACTACATCATCTTCGGTCTCTATGGAAACCCAAAGTCATCCCACGGATCGCAGGGAAAAAGGATATATACACATGCACAGATAGCCCCGTTTAGGATACACACATTTTGAATCTGTATCGATCATCTTTTTTTGTTACATAATATGTGAGTTGCCAGGAAGGCACAGACATGTTCCCTTGCCTGGGAAAGGAGGCAGTGGGCGAGACCGCGAGATGCTCTCGACCTTCCACGAAAGGATGCGGACAGCACTGGAGAGAACAACTAGATCAACGCACCTTTGTGCACTTCACACTAGGAGCAAAACACACCTCACCTGCGCCCTTGCAGACAAGACCGACCAGCTAATGGGAAGGCAATAGAAAGCAAAGAAGGTTTCCAAGCCACTTGGAAGATTCATCAGCATCTAATGGCTTTGTAAAAACACTCAGGTACCCCTGGAGCACCTAATCTGGAAGATGTGACGTACAGATGGGGTCTTTCCAAGCTGGCCCTGGGCTACCAGGACCAAGAGCCAACAGACCTCAGGCTGCGGTGTTTTAATTCTTCTCTTAGCTGCCTGGCTTTCTTTTGTAACTGCACGCTGCTGTGTTTTAATTCTGCTCTTTGTCAGCTGCCTGGCTTTCTTTTGTAACTGCATCTCGAGTTCAGGGGATTTCCATCCTCCCCCAAAAGGATGGATTCAAACAGAGCAATGGTGCTGCCCTGTATTTACTAATCCAAAACAGACTGGATAACTTCCACCAAGCCGCAGGGTGCAGCTGGGTCACCAAATGCTGGAGAAAATGAAAAAGTCCCTTTTGGCACGTGTTCCTGGTAAGAGGCAGATCATGGAGAAGCAACACGCGAGTGCAGAAAAATGCAGTATTCTCACATCCCCCCAGAGCCAGACTCCCACGAAACGCCGTATTTATGGAAACTGTTCACAGGCCCCATGTGAACACTTGGAGCCAGCCAAGAGCAGCCGTGGTGTCTGCAGGGCCCCGGGACGCCTCGCACACATCTGCTCCCATGGAGCTTTTTGAGATCTGCTTTGAATAGGGGAACCCAGGCCAGGTACAGTGACCTCCTCATGAGCAAGAGCAGCTCCCAGGGCTGCCACGAATCAGCCTGGCTTTTAGGGGCCGGGACACGAGACGATGCATCCAAGCAAGACAGCGGAGCCAGCACAGAGGGAGCTCCCTACATGCCCAAATGTGACCCGTTCCAGGAAGGGCAACGTGCCCTGGCTCCTCAGGCCGCAGGTCTCCTCCAAACTTGTGTCAGTGTCTGCTGTGGTCCGGGTTTGAGCCGTGCGGATGCTCGGCCACAGGGGAGAGCAGCCACGTTGGCAGAAGAGCAGGTATTTTCCCCTGGGCTGACTGTCAGCGCTGACCGACTGTACCACAACACACGCACCGACCGGGCTGCCGGGATACCCCGCGCAGAGCTGCAGGAGCCACATGGGCTCATCCCCCCTCCCCAGTCCTGTTTGTGATCAGGATCATAGAATCACAGAATGCTGAAGGTTGGAAGGGACCTCTAGAGATCATCTAGTCCAACCCCCTGCACACGCAGGGTCACCTACAGCACGTGGCACAGGGCTGCGTCCAAGCGGGTTTTGAAGATCTCCAGAGAAGGAGACTCCACAACCTCTCTGGGCAGCCTGTTCCAGCGCACTGTCACCCTCAATGTTAAGAAATTTTTCCTTAAGTTCCTGTGGAACTTTTGGTGCTTCAGTTTGTGGCCATTTCCTCTAGTCCTATCAGTGGCCACCACTGAAAAGAGATCAGCACCATCCTCCTCACTGCCTCCCTTGAGGTACTTCTAGACACTGCTCAGGTCCCCTCTCAGCCTTCTCTTCTCCAGCTGAACAGGCCCAGCTCCCTCAGCCTCTCCTCATAGGGCAGATGTTCCAGGCCCCTGATCATCCTCGTAGCCCTGCGCTGGACTCTCTCCAGCAGCTCCACAGCCCTCTTGTCCTGTGGGGCCCAGAACTGGACACAATACTCCAGATGCGGCCTCACCAGGGCTGAGTAGAGGGGCAGGATCACCTCCCTCGACCTGCTGGAGATGCTCTTAATGCACCCCAGGATCCCATTGGCCTTCTTGGCCACAAGAGCACACTGCTGCCTCATGGTCAACTTGTCGTTCACCGTGACACCAGGTCTTTCTCTGCAGAGCTGCTCTCCAGGAGGTCGCTCCCCAGCCTGTAGTTACCTGCAAATAACTCCCTGCCACATTCGCAATTATAAACCCAGCAGGAAGTGCCTGAAGATTTGCAGCTGGCAGCTAAAAATAAAGCCCTGCACTGGAGTCCTTCAGGTTCATTAGAACCCAGCCAAGTGCGAGGGAGAACAACAGGGAAGCGCAAGGGGACTGCAAGACGACTTCCAAATAAACATGCTGATAAACCCTATCCTAGATTTCCTCTGCCGGTTTGTGCTTCCCTCCCCGCAAAGAGATAATGAAGCTTCCAATGCCCTTGATTTAGATGCTAAATTGACTCTTTCTGATACTCAAATCTATTCAAGCCGGAACATGGAGGGTGTTAATGAGACCAGCACACGTTCCCCAGTGCAACGGAAACTTTACACAGGTCCCTCCTTCTAGCTCCTTCAAATAACCACCTCTATACCAGCCTCCCAAGAGGCAGCATCAATGGGTCACTCGTTTTTGCAGTATCTTAATCACAGAATAATTTGCCTTGATGTAACAAAAAACAAACACTGTGCAGCATTATCCCTGTGCTAGAAATACTGTGGTGCCAGCACAAGGCCTGGCTGCTTCTGCCAAATACTATTTATTATTGGGGATGAAACAGAGCAAGATAATGAGGCATGGGGGTAGTGGCACAGATCATGATGGGACTAAAGAGTACGGACAGATTAAGAGGAAGTCAGCAATGTTCAAGAGAAAAAAATCTCAATCAATAAAGTCAGGAAGAAAAAGTGCTAAACAGAAAGCATCATTAACTCTTTTGAAGTGTTAATTACCCTGCGTGGCTTATGCATACACTGGATACAGATAGACAGTAAAGCACATGTGCCTAGGTATCATTCATATCACAGTCCTTCAAACGATTCTGTTCAAACAGCTGCACTTAGTGATTTGTCCTGTGCTGATTACTTCAAATAAGTGCCTGGTTCTTGTTCTTATATCATGACAGGCCAGAAGCACTGGCTATAGGAAGGTGCTTGAGATGGTCATGAGTGAGGTTCTCATTTACTTCATTATCACCAGCCCTTCAAACGTTATTGCCCTTAGAATCACACATCCTCCCCACCGAATGTCTTGCAAGACAGCACCACATTTGGACACCACATTTGGACAGCCCTATCACCTACACAATACTTTGTCAGCTCTAATTCTGCCCACATTTGAGTCACGGACTATGCATGGTTTGCAACAGGTCCAATTGCTAGAGCAACCTCACGTGAGCAAGTGAAACAGGAGGCAGCACCTCCTGTTATCAGCAAACACCGGAGGACCCATCCATCCTCCACCCACTGCACAACCTGTTTGGTGCATTAGTTGGGAGAAAGGTCATTTATTCACCCCATTACACTTGCTTTGATCCATGCTCATGGTCCATGTACGGACAGATGGGGAA